TCCCTCCCTCCCTCCCTCCCTCCCTCCCAGCATCGTTGGGTCGCACTGGATCACCATCTTCTCTGAGCTAGGAAACCCGACAGTGGGCTGCATTTTTACTCAATCATAGGGGCACAGGGTGGGCATGGAGGCAGCGGAGGAGGAGGAGGCGGAGGTGCGGGCGATAGCGAAGCTGCTGGAGGTCTACTGCAAGGGATCGAACGGGAAGTATGACGCCTACACGGACAAGAAACTTGTGGATACCTGCCAGAGGGAGCTGGGAGAGGAGATGGTGGAGACGAGGACTGGTGGGCCCAAGGGCAGGTTGCTCCGGGCCTTTGCGGATAAACTCAATAAGTTCGACAAGTTTTCAGGAAAGACGAGGACCGAGGCGCTATGCAATCTGGCCGAAGTAAGCTTGCTTCCCTGTGCGATGGCACCTTACGAGGCCATGGCTGCAGTTGCGCTTGTTGGAACCTACTCGACTCACATATCTCTTGAAAGCAAGCCGAGGGTTCAGGCGACAGCTTGCACCAAGCAGAGACGAGTTGATTCGAGAATGTCTGACGCACTTCAAGCAGATATTGAACAAGAAGGTGTGTCTTCCTGCCCTCTCCTTGCTCACGCTCACTCCTGCTGCAGGTCGGTCCTCAGCGCCAGCCGACTCCCGAAAGGCAGAAGCTTGCTCTCATAATTGGGATCTCCAACTATGACAAGGAAGCTCTCCCCAACTGCACCAGTGATGCTCGTTGTATCTCCGAAGCCTTCAAGAGCAGGGGCTTCGAGACCTACCTGGAGTTCGACACTCAGGATCAAGAGTCGTTCTGGAAAGTTTACGAGGACTTCGCCTCTAAGATCAGACCGCCATGTACCGTTCTGTTCTACGTGGCCGCTCATGGCGCACAATTCCATACAGACGTTCTTGTCTTCCCCATCATTCCCTTCCGGACGAAGGATGCCGAGAAGGCCATCTCGATGCAGGCCATGATCAACAAGATCTCAACACGGCTCGACCCGGACAGCGATGTAGTCATGCTGCTTGACACTTGCAGAGTGAACTTCAGCCAACGAGGCCATCAGGACCTCGAGCAGCTAGCGACACTTCCTCAGACCTGGATCTTGTATGCGACCAAGGAGAGCTACCCGGTGTGTGACGGCCCTGACGGAGGCAACTCACCGTTCACGAGGGCAGTGCTGAGGACTCTGAAGGAGTTGGGGCCCGACGTGGAGTTCTATAAATTTGCTACTTCAGTGAACAAGTACGTGAGAGACTGTGGCATGCAACGGTCTGAGTTGAAGGCGGATATGACAAAAGAATTATTTATATAACGAGATTCATAAAAGTTCTGTCGAAAAGATGCAAAGAACCAAGTCAAACACACAGAAGTCTAATTGTTGTGAATATATTTGATACTTGATTTGCATTATGGGTCATCAAGCCTTTCGCAAGTACGTGCACAGTATTGAACGCCACATCCTGCCATGGGGTATCCATTGTCTATGTGGAAGGTAGTTCTATAGCGTCTACATTGAACACATTGATATCCTTCATAACATCTTTCAGAGCAGAAAGCAACAGCATCAGATAGCTTGTATAAATCATTCGAGTCGACCGATTCAAATAGTTAAACCTGATCTTCGGGGATTTTTGTTTTACAACAGTGACATTCCCACTTCATTTCAGATTGCACCCTTTGAAGTGACTTGATCCAGACCTCAAGATCTTGTGCTGCATCAATGGTATACTCATAAGAGTATCAGCGCTGAGACGAGAGCCTGGTAGATGAAGGCAGCTCTCCGAACCCTGGCAGAGAAAGACTTCATTGCCCGCCTCCGAGTCTTGAACCCTGATCGCTACATCTCTAATACCTCTCCTTCTTCTCCTTCTTCTCTCCTCCTCCTCCTCCCCCCCACCTCCTCCCTCCTCCTCTCCTTCTTGTCCTTCTCCTCCCTCCTCCCTCCTCTCCTTCTCTTCATCCACCCTGCTGATTCTTCTCCTTCTCTCCCACTACGGCTCCCTCTTCCTCCTCTCCCCTCAGCTCCTGGTAGCACTGCTCCTACCCGAGTCGTAGCAAGCGTTGAGTAAATTTCTCCTGCTGGCCCTAACCTTCGGAAATGTGCGGAGGGGGAGGAGCGATGAATGAATGAGATGCTGTCAGACGCGAGCTAGGGAGAGGGAGGGGGAGAGGGAGAGGGAGGGGGAGAGGGAGAGGGAGAGGGAGAGGGAGAGGGAGAGGGAGAGGGAGAGGGAGCGAGATGAAGATGAGGGGAAGCAGAGCAGTGGTGATGCTAGGAGATGGTTTATGAGAACCGGTAGCCACATCAAGCTCTAGCCATGGGAGGAGCAGCGTCGTTGAGTGCAGGCGACAGAAACGCTGCTAACGATGATGAGGGCGGGTCAAAGATCTCATCCTTGATCAACACGATCGGCCTCAAAGGCACGAGCCTGCTCAATCGCTTCAGGAACAGAGCAAGCAGTGTGGAGGAAGCGAGGTCCCCCTCCGATGGCTCACCCACAGGAAAGGAGATGGAGAAACCCAAGTCAAAGCGCAAGAAGTCGAAATCGCAGAAACGAGTGTCGGTAGGAGGACCCGAGGATGCTGACGACTCGAATGACCCCGGAGCTGGTGGGGGTGGTGAAGCATCCAAGGTAACCATGACCCTCCTCTCTCAACTTTGATGCATGCAAGGCTGACTTGTTGTCAGGGAGAGAAGGAGGAGGGCAGGAAGGGAGCGGAGAAGGACCGGGAAGTTGTGCATGATGATGAGGAAGAGGAAGACGAGGAGTTCCTAGAGGCTGTGGAGGGATCGGGAGATGGGAGGATAGACATTAAGAGGAAATCGACTGTCGCTGTGAATCTTCATGCTATCGAAGGCACGTCCAGCGAGCAAGTGCAGGTACATCCACTTCATCTGTTCAACCAGCGCTCATCACGGTCTGAACAGCTCTCACCGACCTCCTCTGAGAAGAATCATGACATCGCCGTCAACGCTGAAGCGCTCGGGAAGGAACAGAAGAGTGACAAGTTGAGGACGAGAGAAGATCTCAAGGGACCGCAGAGATTCTTGGTAAGTCAAACATCACTTCTTCTCCTTCGTCACTCAAAGCAAAGACTGATAAACATGCAGGTGACAATCGAAAAGTGCGAAAAGCTCGTAGTGATGGAGGGCAAGATCAGGTTCCGAGTGATGATGGAGGGTAAAGTGCGGGAGTCAAAGACATTCACGATCGGAGATGAGTTGATCCAGGGGATCGTCAAGGTGTGGACAGGGACGTTGATAGTGAAGGAGGAGTTCTACTTCGAGGTGGCGCAACCAGACTCGTTTGCTTTCGTTGAGGTTATCCATACCATCGACACTGAGGGCTCCAACGACAGAGCTGAGAGTGTGCTGGGAAAGGCGCAGGTCCATCCAACGACCAAGGAAGGCCTTCAGAAGCAGAGCGTGAAGCTGAGCAACGAGGCTGGGATGCTTCAGGCCTCCTGCATCAAGGTCGGTGCCATGCAGGACTCGCTCAAGAGCGAGGACGAGCAGGCGTACATCTCTGCCATGCAGATGCATGCAGACGTGCCGAAGAGCATGATGAGGTTACGAGTGCGAGTGGTTCAAGCGCTTGATATCCCTGCCATGGATGCCAGCGGGACGTCGGACCCATACATCATCCTGACGTGTGGAAGCGTCAAGAAGCGCAGCAAAGTTCAGATGAAGACTCTTCGCCCGCAGTGGCATGAAGACTTTGATTTCTTCTTCCCCGCAAACCAGCCCATCGCAAACCTCGACATCGAGATGTGGGACAGAGACACAGCTGCTCGAGACGACTTCATGGGCAAGACCAGCATCTCCATCGGCGGCCTCATCTACCTCCCTCCCACCCTCCAATGGCTCGCGCTCAAGAACAAGGAGGAGGCGGCGGGAAGACTGCAAATCTTTCTCAAGATGGAGAGCAAGACCGGGACATCGGACTCTCCCCTCAAGGATGACGTTGAACGTTGGTTCGCCAGCGAAAGCCTCCTGCTCTCCTTCTGGGATGGCATCACCGGAGGCATCAAGAGCACGCGGGCTGCCGTCGCCTCCCCTGAGACTAACGAGATGTCGCCAGCCATGCTCAAGATCACCGTGCTGCGAGCCAAGGAGCTCATGGCGGCTGATCGGGGGGGGACGAGCGATCCCTACGTCAAGATTCACATCGGGGATGACGTGAAGAACGGGAAGAAGACGCAGGTGAAGAAGAAGACTCTGGATCCCACGTGGATGGAGACGTTTGAGTTCCTCATCCCTGGCTCGGAAAGGAACGAGGCGATCAACGTCGAATGCCTTGACAAGGACCTGATAGGCTCCGACGACACCCTTGGTCAGTTCGGCATCGCTCTTGACACCATCGTACCTGACAAGGAGTATCGCTCCTGGTACTCGTTCGCCGAAGTCGACGGGAAGTCCTTCCCAGGGCAAGTCGAGCTGCAGTTCGTGCTGAGGGAGGTGCTGGAGTCGTCCAAGGAGGAGGCGGGTGAGAAGGTTCAGAGCTTGCCAGGGCAGGGGAAGCAGCAGAACGCGCCACATCCCAGCTCGTCCGTGAAAGGAGTGCAAGTGATAGTGGTGGGAGGGAGGGCGATGCCGAAGATGGACTCCGGGCCCTTTGGCAAGTGCGACCCGTACCTGATCCTTAAGTTTGGCCAGCAGCAGCACAAGACCCAAGTGATCAAACGCTCGTTGGCTCCCACGTGGAATGAGACTTTCACCTTCGACTTTGAGGACGGGGAGATCTCGTCGGAACTGCTTGTCGAGTGCTACGATTATGACATGATCGGCTCCCATGACTACATCGGCTCAACCTCCCTGGATATCAAGACTCTGACCTCCAAGAAGTCAGAGTGGTTCAAGCTCGTGCATCCTGATAACCCCTCGTACAACGCCGAGGTCTTCCTTACCCTAGTTCCCTCCTTTGAGACTAAGGAGGAGATCGAGCGCAGAGCCGCAGGCTCAGTACCGGACGCCGGTTCTATGACAACCATCCTCATCCTCGACCTGGTGGCTGGCAGAGGGTTGGAAGCCATGGACAGCAACGGAACCAGCGACCCCTACGCGGTCATCCAAGTCGGCAGCGAGAAGAGAAAGTCCAAGGTGATCAAGAAGGACTTGAATCCTGAATGGAACGAGAAGTTTGAGATGGTGGTGAGCGATCTCAACGACTCGCTCAGAGTCTCCGTGTGGGACAAAGACTTGATCGGGTCGGACGACCTCATCGGCGAGACCATCATCCCGCTCTCCACCATCCTCGGTCAGAAGGTACCGCAGAAGTGGTACACCATCTACCGCGACTCCAAGATCATGGGGGAGATCTTGATGGGGCTCAAGCTGCCCAGGCCCGAGGGCTACGTGGACGCTCACGCGGGCTCGCTCGACACCTCCCACGACACGGACACTGACTCCAGTAGCTTCAACGAGCTCCGGCTGAGGCGAGCCTGCCCCCAAGACGTGCGCATCTACATGGCCTGCACCCTATCAGACTTCGCGTACGAGCGGCACCTGCTGCATGAAACCGTCGTGCCGGAGATCCGACGGTTCTGCGAGGCCAGGTACATCACCTGTACCGCCGTTGACGTGCGCATGGGCATGATCGAGGAGTCGGAGGAGCTAGTCAAACTCTGCCTTGACGAGCTCGACAAGTCCTCCATCTTCCTCTGCCTGGTCGGCGAGAAGTACGGAAGGCGCGTGGAGGACGTGGCGTCGCTGATGGAGCTGAGGCCATGGACGGAGAACCTCAAAGGAAAGAGCATCGTGGAGTTTGAAGTCGCAGCTGCTCTTATCGAAGACGCGTCAAAGTTCGCGGGCAGAGCGTTTGTGTACATCCGAGACCCAAGCTTCATCGACAGCATCCCTGGCCTCAACCGAGGAGACTTCACCGAGGAGGACCCCTCCAACCTGCTGGCGCTGGAGGCGTTCAAGAAACGTTTGCACTCCATAGACAACCTGCCGGTGGTTGACAACTACCCCGAGCCCAGCAAGGTCATGGACAAGATCCAGAGAGACCTGAAGAAGGTAGTGAAGCAGGTCTACGACAAGGAGACGAGGAGGAGGCTGTTGAGCCCTCAGCGCAAGTTCAACCTCTCCTACTGCAGTGAGCCGATCGCTCACTACGTGCTGGACCCTGAGCCGGGGCTGCGACTCAACAACTACGTCGCATTCGATGACAGGAGCCTGATGCTGATCTTGGGCCCCAACGGCAGCGGCAAGACTTCCTTCATCAGGACATGGGCCAACATCTACGAGCTGAGAAGATGCAAAGACGTCTTCTTCTTCCTCCACTTCGACCTCGGCGCTGCTGGGGTAGAATCAGCTCGGGGCGTGCTGAGGAGAATCTTGTTTGAGATGAAGAAATTCTTCGGCATCGAAGGAGACGTTCCCATCGACTACGTGCAGATCAAGCGCACGTTCCTCTTGTGGATTCTGCTGGGGACGACCAAGGGTGGGGTCATCCTGGTCATCGACGGGGCCGATGGGTTTGACGAGCCGAACGACGGGATCTTGTCGTTGCTTGAGTGCATACCGGAGACGCTCCCCAAGGGCCTCAAGATCATCCTCTCCATGACTGCCGGCGCTCCTGTGTCGAATCTCATCTTGAAACGGATGCACTCCTGTCAAACCATCACCCTGGGCGCGCTCTCCGTTCAAACCCGACAAACGATCTGCGAATCTGTTTTCAAGTCACATGGAAGGGACCCCAAAGACCTCGATGATAAGATCATAAACGATACAGACAGCAGGTCTCCTATAAGCCTGAAGCTTAAAGTTCAATTGTATCTTCACACAGGTGAATTTTTCCACGCGCAGACGCTGCAACAGACTGTCTTACAGCTTCTGTCGTTGCTTGAAATGAAATTTCACGATCAGTCACCGGGTTTGGTAGAGACTGTTCTGACTTCCCTTGCAAGGTCTCGACGTGGATTGACGGATTCTGAGCTCATCGCAATTGGAGGGATCAACAGGCACATGTGGAGTAAATTTTCTCGAGCAAGTGAAGAACTTTTGACGGGGATGGCAAGTTTGGTGAACTTTCAGCATGAGATCATTGACGAGGCAGTGAACATCAGATATCTCGATACCGAAGAGAAGAAGCAGAGGAGAACAGTCTCCCTGGCGACCTTCTTCGAAGCAAGTCCTCTCTCATTCCGCAAGGTGGAAGAATATCCCTGGCTGCTGGCAACCAACGCTCGGTACTGGTTCCAGACAGCACAGCCAAGCGAATACAAGAACGTCTGGAAGAAGCTCCGAGACTGTCTCACAGACTTGGACTTCTTTCAAGAGATCTATCAGGATTGCTTCGTTTCCGATTTGCATGATTTGTGGGAAGAAATGTCGTCGGTGTATGACCTGGTGGAAGAGTATACCAACAGTGTGAATGCATATGCGTCGAAGACAGCTTACAGCAGTTCTTCGGATAGAATCGTAGCCAAAGTGCATTTGGCTCTGTGCCAGACAAAAGTTGCGAGGTTCTTTCGAGATTGCTCTCGGTTTGAATCAGCGCAAGGCATGTTCCTGCGCTCGCTGGAGTCCTGGAAGCTTTGTCCTGGAAAGGAGAGGGAGGTGGTGAACGTTTACTTCGAGCTCGGGCTGATGCTGCGCACGTGGGGAAAATACGCGGAGGCCGAAGAGACGCTGAAGGGCTCCTTCGCCTTCATGGAGAATGCGCAAGGGAAGGAGAGCAGCGTCAAGATGGGAGAAGTCCTGCACTTCGTCTCAGATTGTCTTCGGCGGCAGAAGAAGGAGAGCGAGGCTTACTACTACGCCGACCGATCTTACCATCGGCTTCAGGACAGTCTGGATTCCGATCAGCTCGACAAGTCGCCGTTGTACGCGAGATGCTTGTACAACCTGGGGGTAGTGTGTGAGATCCTGGACAGGAAGCAGGCGGCGCTCGAGCACTACGACAAGTCTGTGCTGGTGTTTGAAAGGTCTCTTGGCACTCTCAACGTGGAGTACTCGCAGGCCCTCGAGAGTCTCGCGGCCTCTTACCAAGGGGTCGGCGACCTCACCAAGGCTGCCGCCTCCTATCAGAAGCTCCTGCCGGTGAAGGCCGAGATGTCCTTCCTCGGCGGCAGCCTCGGCGACGTCACGTCAGCTCAGAACAACTTGGCGGCGATCTTCGTGAAGCTGGGAGACCTCAAGGCCGCAGAGGTCCTCTACCGCAAGGCCGTCAGGCATCGCGAGCACTACTACGGTCACTCCCACCCCACCGTAGCCAGATCCCTGGAGATGCTGGGGAACCTGCTGGCGGAGGTGGGAGAGCTGCAAGAAGCGACGTTGCTGCTGCAACGGGCGTTGAGTATCCGCAACGAAGTGTTTGGCAAAGACGACGTGGAGTCGGCTGCCACGGTTCTGAACCTGAGCACGGTGCAGTGCCGACGGGGGCAGTACGTGTCAGGTCGCGACCTCTTCAAGAAGTGGCTGAGGATCATGCTGCAAGCTCTCGGCGCGAGTCACCCAACTTGCATCTGGGCTGTTCAGTGGCTCGACCGCTGGCCCGAGGGAGGAGCCCCGGGCAGCCGACTGTCCAAGGCAGACGACGGCCGGCATGGAGCACTGCCGCCTGGCAAGCTGATAGTCAAGGTTCTGAGAGGAAGGAGGCTGAAGGCGATGGACAGCGGCAAGTCCAGCGACCCCTACGTGGTGGTTGAGCTGTCAGGGCAGCGGAAGAAGACCTGGCCCAAGATGAAGACAACGAACCCTGAATGGAATGAAGTCATGGAGTTCAACGTGAGTAAGGACGACAGGATGAACGGGGAGTTAGCTCTGCAGTGCTTCGATAAGGATCTGATAGGAGAGGACGACAACATGGGATCTTTCACCTTCAAGGTCAACCAGGTGACTCTGCTTGACTTGTTGCATTGTGTTGACACCGTCACCTGTAGCTGCCGCTCGCCCAGCCCTATCGGGTCTGGCAGGCGTTTGATGACCCTGAGGAGTTTCCAGGGGAGATCGAGGTGGAGATGTTGCTGCTGGAGAACGAAGTGATCGGGATGCCCTTCCAAGCAAGCAAGGAGGGTCCAAGTCTCCTGACTCAGATCGAGGACAAGCGAAGAGCTGAGAAGTTGAGGGAGGAGCAGCTGGCAGATGCCTCGCAACAGCAGCAAGAGAGAGAAACGAGGATGAAAGTTCGAGAAAAGATCAACAGAGCGTCGGAAATGAAGATCGAGAGAGAGCGAAGGAGGGAGGCTAGGATAGCGGCTGGTTTGGATGCTGACATGGACAACGAGTCCGAAGCCCTGGAAGACTTGGAAGAGGTCGATACGGGGGAGCAGGGACTTGAGGACAAGGGCGACGAGGCTGCTGCTGCTCACGAGCAGGCTGAAAGTCAAGGAGGAGATGATGCAAACCTGGATGGAGACGCTGCAGAAGCGAGCAAGGATGAGGAAGAGGACGAGGCCTGGGACGATCAAGGCGCGTCGAGGCTCCACTACGCTGCGATGCATGGGAAGGAAGACAAAGTCAACGAGCTGCTGGACAAGAAGTTCAACCCCAATGTGCGAGACAAGGACGGGCTGTCTCCGCTCCATTACGCGTGCGGTGAGGGGCATCTGGGTATCGTGGTGATCCTCTTGGAGCGAGGAGGAGACCTGCTTGCCCAGGACAAGGACGGTGACGGGCCTCTGCACGTTGCCATCCAAGAGCACCAGGAAGAAGTCTGCACGCTCCTGTTGAAGCATCATCCCGACGTGGTGAACATGCGGGGGGCCCATGGCAACACTGCCCTGCACATGCTGGCGGCCATGGAGAGCGAGTGGGAGAGCATGTTGGTGAAGCTGTTGGAGAGCGGAGCTGACGCCACCATCAAGAACGATTACGGGGAGACTGCCGTCCAGATGGCCAAGGACGTGTTCGATGCTATCTTCAATCACCCCCATTATCTCATCATCTGCAAGGCCCTGGGGTTGTCAGAGAGCAGCGATCAGGTCAAGGGAGCTCCTCTCAAGCCCAAGATCGCCCTCAAGCTCTGGTCGGTGATCGAGCAGAACGACACGGAGGTCATGTTGAAGTACCTCAGAGGAGGTCTGGACATCGATGGACGGCTGGATGAGACAGGTCTGACGATGCTGATGCTCGCCTCACAGCAGCTGAGACGAGAGATGCTGGAGCTCATGGCGGATCCTGGTTGGGATTTGAACATCAACATCGCGACTGATACAGGGCAAACAGCTCTCCACCACCTCGTGCTCAACGGCAGAGCTCTCACGGTGGAGTGCCTCGATATCCTCTTGAAACTGAACCCCGATGCGAACATCCAGGACAGCAAGGGTTACACAGCGCTGCATTACGCAGCAGAGTTGTGCAGTGAAGAGGTGGTGAGGGTGTTGATCGAGAGGGGAGGAGCGGACACGTTGGTGGCAACCCATGCTGGCGACACTCCCCTCCACCTGTCAGCGCTGGCGTGCAGAGGTGACGTGGTGCCTCTGCTGGTGAAGAAGCTTGAGATCAGATCGAAACAGCAGTTCACATTTGTGAACTCGGAGATGGCCATGAGAGATTTTATCAACAAGATCAACCAGGTCGGAGATACCGCCCTCCACCTCGCCTGCAGATCTGATTCAAACTCCCGCATCGTCAGCCTTCTGCTTCAGAACAGCGCCAACCTGCACTCCATGAACAAGTTTGAAGAGACTCCTCTCGACGTCGCGCAGAAGTACCGACAGGGAGATCTGATCAACCTGCTCAACGAGTGGTCGAAGAGCGAAGAGGCTTCTGTCAACACCGACCTCGTCAGAGACATCACTCGATTCACCTTTGCGATCAAGGATGACGATCGCGAGACCGTGAAGACCATGCTCGCCTCGGGGCACTTTGAACTCAATGCGGCCTGCAATGAGATAGGGGACACGTACTGCCACATCGCAGCAGCAGAAGGGCGGGTAGAGATCCTGAAGGAGCTCTTCTTGCAAGGTTCCTACCTTCACAACCAGAACCTGATCGGTTGCACGCCCCTCCATGCGGCTGCGATGAGGGGGAGTGTGGGAGCCATCAAGTGGCTGCTGCAAAATGGAGCTGATCCTCGGGCAAGCGACAGCGAGGGGTACTGCCCGATGCACTACGCAGCTGGGGAAGGGCACGTGGAGGCCATCGACTGCCTGCTGAGCATCGGGAGATGCGACGAGACGCTCAAGACGTTTCAGGGGCTGACCATGCTTCACATCGCGATATCGGAGAGAAGGAAAACCGTGGTCGAGTACCTCTTGAAGCGCAACCCGCAATTCGCCTCCATCTCAGACTCCGACGGGAAAGTACCGCTGGACTACTGCGACTTGAATGGGAACGACGAAGAGCTGGTCAAGCAGCTCAAGGTACTTGTTGATATCGTCACGTGTGATCTCACTCTTGTGTGCTAGGCTGCCAGCACTGGGAGCAGAGTAATGTTGCTGGTTGAAAACATGCGAAACTGAAACTAACGCTGACTCGGTGCGGCCACTCGGAGGCCGCCACTGACTCCTGCTGTCACGTCACAGTGCCGTCATGTCTATCTTGAACTTCAAGTTTGTGCATTAAAGTTTCTTGACTGAAATGGAAAAAGGCAAACCGAAGCAAACGCACTCAGGGCCGCTGTCAGCAGCTCCATGGTGATCCGTCAAGTACCAGAGAACCCGCAAAGCGTCAGCACTGATGAATATAAGACCATCCGTACCTGCAGTGAAGGGACTCCCGGAAGGCTTTCGGCGGGTGATGGGTAGAGCTCCATTGCGTAGCTACCATCGGGCCCGGAGAAGAGCTGCCTGAACCTGCCGGTATGGTAGCCTGATGGCCCCCCCGGCCCGCTAGTTTTACTCACCGGTGAGTTTTAGTTATCACACCGGGCCAGCCCCGCCGTGTCGAATGTGGTGTGAAACGGCTCGTAACGGTTCAGCGAAGGGGCGCCGAAGCAATGGTGGCAGTCTACGGAACCACCGGGAATGGCGTCCATGAGCGCATGTACCAGCGCAGTACCAGGTGAGAGGAATGAACTGAACGTGAAGGAAAATGAACATGAGGATGAACATGAGGATGAACATGAGGATGCGATCGAGAATGGAGGAGGTGTTGGAGGGATGAAAGTGCAGGGTACAATCAGAGCGATTCTCATGTCTTTTGAAACTGTGTTAAGATGAGCTGGAGGTTTCCCATCAATTCAAAGATTCAGTTAGGTTATGAATCATTACTGACTCTCCGATAGATCAGTTGATTGCATCTTCTCCTTACTTGTTCTCTCGAGACACTAACTCTATGTTTTCCCTGCAGCAACTCCAAGCGCACAGTTTTGGCTGTCGCATCTGTAGCCGTCGCATGTTTGTGCGCGTATCTTGTGGTTTCATCTGAAGTTCGAAGTGGGCCGGCAATGCTGTTGTTCCCCACACCCACCCTCAAAAATCTTCTTGGCACCTTCATGAGACAGCAAGGAGCTTCCAAGTCGGATATCTCCAAGATGAACAAGTATTACTCCAAGAAGGGACGTGTTCAGATGCTCGACGACTTGAGCGGCGAGTTCGATCCCATCTCTGACGCTGACTCCAACTACGCCCGTGCCATCGGCATCAAGTCCGTCTCCAGGACGAACCCCGTTATTACCGAGGACATGGACTTCTCGCCGGAGAAGAAGGGGCGTGTTCAGATGCTCGACGACTTGAGCGGCGAGTTCGATCCCATCTCTGACGCTGACTCCAACTACGCCCGTGCCATCGGCATCAAGTCCGTCTCCAGGACGAACCCCGTTATTACCGAGGACATGGACTTCTCGCCGGAGAAGAAGGGGCGTGTTCAGATGCTCTACGATGTCGACGGCCCTCAGGTAATTCTGTTGTTAGGAATTTCGGTTTCGGTTGTATTGAATTTAAATTTCTCCAGGCTTCTGATCCCAAGAAGACGGTTCTTGCCAGGCATGCGATCCATCAAAAGAACAGGGCTCAGAAACAGCAGGTTGGAACCTCAATCGCAGTTGCAAACATGCTTGAGATACGCGATTGCATTGTTCTTTTCATGATAGCAAGTTGCGTTCTGTGGATATTCCTGCCTATTGAATATTGCAATTTGGCAGAAGAGCCTTGCATTCATGATCAAGAATAACATTCTTGGAACTGCGGACAAAGCCAGAGTTCAGGTTTGATGTTTTGACAGCTGTGCAGCAGTCATTGAGTATCTCTCAGATGTTGTCCAATTCTGCAAGGAAGACGGTCAATGTCTGGCAACAGGTCTCGCTCCGATACTGTGCCATCAATGTTTGATCCGAGTTGCTTCACAGATTGGTGCTCAGGAGCCTTCCAATGCTGCGCAGTCAGTAATGAAGCAGAATGACGATGCCGGATACAAGGTTCCGTTTGACTCAATCTCTATGACACCTTACTTACTGGCGGTCAGGCTCCCACCCAGAAGCTCGACGACGTCAGCAGCGAGTTCGATCCCATCTCTGACGCTGACTCCAACTACGCCCGTGCCATCGGCATCAAGTCCGTCTCCAGGACGAACCCCGTTATTACCGAGGACATGGACTTCTCGCCAGAGAAGAAGGGGCGTGTTCAGATGCTCGACGACTTGAGCGGCGAGTTCGATCCCATCTCTGACGCTGACTCCAACTACGCCCGTGCCATCGGCATCAAGTCCGTCTCCAGGACGAACCCCGTTATTACTGAGGACATGGACTTCTCGCCGGAGAAGAAGGGGCGTGTTCAGATGCTTGACGACGTCAGCAGCGAGTTCGATCCCATCTCTGACGCTGACTCCAACTACGCCCGTGCCATCGGCATCAAGTCCGTCTCCAGGACGAACCCCGTTATTACCGAGGACATGGACTTCTCGCCGGAGAAGAAGGGGCGTGTTCAGATGCTCTACGATGCCGACGGCCCTCAGGTTCGAGACCCATCATATAGTAGTCATGCTTGACTTGGCACACAGCCCAGTGATGGATCATCTGCAAGCTGGGCCGCCGCCGGACGCGTTGATCAGGTGCAGCAATTTTGTCATTGTTGTACATTGAGCTTCCAGTCAGGCTGGCCGGGCATCCAGCTCTCTTGCAAGGCAGATCCGAGCTGCTCAACCCCGGTTTTGAAAACTGAGATTTTAAAGCATTTGTACAATACAGTGCAGAGTTGCAGAAACTTCATGCTCTCCTCATCCCATCAATGCTTCGGTTGTGTTGCTCAAAAGTTAGCATCACAAGAATGTCTCTAGAACTCTTTATTCATCATACTTCTCGTTCTCGTATGCATTTAGCAAGAGGAGTTGCCAAATGGGTCGCACACCTGTGTGACACTTCAGATGTACATCTCAAAACATTAGACAAAACATAACAACAAAAAGAACACCAAACAATGAGCCAAACAATGATGGGGGGCGGGGGGCAGCAAGAAAGAAAATAAAAGCGAGTAGACTCCACCCACTTGAGTGGGATCCAGTGATGAAACATAATTAGCACAGGAATAAGAAAAGATGAACGAAGAGGACAGAGAAGTCCCTTCAAAGCCACCGATGCACCAAAGGCAAAGATGAGAAACTTGCAACATTGAGGTCAAACAAACGAGCTCAAGCCATGAAACGTGATCAGAGGAAAACACTGGTGGAGATCTCCACCTTCTCGGGGGTCGAGAACTTGGCGCGCAGGAGCTTGTCGTTCTGGTAGGTGGAGATGAGCGAGGAGAACATTGCTGCGCCGGTAACGAGCTGATACCCTACCCCTCATTCATACTATTGCTCAAGGGTTATTCAGAAGGGGGGTGTCTGGGACCAGCAACTCCTGCCGGGTTGTCGCCTGTCACCGGAAAGAGTATTAAAACATTCTTGAAATATTTATCAATTAATTGAGAGTAATTTTAAATTTACAAAATGATTCAAACACATTGTAATCATATTTTGTCAAAATTATGATTACCGGTAGGGTGTTTTATTTTGGTGTCTGTTCAGTTGCCTCTTCACACAAGAAAGACACCACACTGCCAGCTAGCAGAGAAATTACTGCCTCTCGTTTTACCCCTATTGGACCGGGTGCGCCCCGGGGATTGAGCCGGGCCGTCCGGCGGCCGGGCGGCGCACTCCCCCTTCAGCCGGGCTGCGTGCCTCTCTTCGCCCGGCAACCCGATCGGACCGTTCAGGGTCATCGGACCGAGTCGCGGCGGCGGCGGGGCCACGGCGGCCGGACCCTGACTCGGCGGCGGCAATGACTCACTCGGACCGTACGACGATCAGTGTGCCAAGTTGATTCAGGCTAGAACTTCGGAAGCGGCTAGGAGTAGCCTAGGCCGCTGCACCGGGCGGCCGCATGTCGGTCGGATGATCCCGCCGGGCCGCAAGTTAAGTTAAAAATCAGCACACTGCCGCAGAGCGCCATTTTTGAAATCCTGATTGATTTTTCAATTTCGTTTCAAGTTCGAAATTTCGCGGCAAAGTAACTTCCGTACAGGGTCTAGAGTGTGGCTTTACAACTTTCGGACCCTACTGAACTGACATGAGAGTGATGCGGTAGGGGGTAGTCCGTGGAAAACAAAGGGGTAGTGAGGTGCCAGGCTCAGCCGCTGTGTCCGGCAAAGGACCGGTCATGTGTACTTCTGATAAAACCGGGGGTACTAGGGTAGCCGCTCTACTGAATGATCACGTTGTTCCAGTCTGTCGGGGGTCAGGGGGTGGTGGAGTCGCAGCTACTCTTTCAGTGACCCCTCAGTTACCTCGATATTCGATGTAAATCTGGGGGTGGGGTAGACTCGGTCAAACTTTGAAACTTTCAAGGGATAGGAGGGGTCCCGGCATGGGGTTGGGGTCGGTAAGGGGGGTGGGGGTTGAAGCAGAGTGGTGGAGTGGTTGATACGATGGCTGGCCCAGGTGGGAGGGGGCGAAGGAGGAGAGGGGAGAAGACAGACAGATATGAAGAAGAGAAAACGTAAAGAGAAGAGAAACGAATCAACAGTTTGAGGAGGATTTTTTGAGTGTGGGAGTTGGAGCAGTGCAAGATTCAAGCAAGCAGGAAGGAGGCTATCATAGAAGAATGAAAGGGGTGGTTGTATGGCATAGGATGGATAGCAGACGGATAATTACAAGTAGATGTATGCCAGATCTTTTCAGATTTCTGTTTATTATTAGCATAACTCACTGATGTCTTATCTAGGCTAAAACATATTGATAACAAATGAGGTGATTTGAAAAGGCGACTTGAACGGTACCTACTATGAAGAGTTTGTTCCGACTGGGGGGTTACGGAAGTTCTCAACGGGCAAAGTCGTACCTAAATCCAGAGGTGCGTTCTTCACAAACTCAAGCATTCGAAGTTGAATAGGAATCTGTGCGAAGGTTTCGCAAGATGGAAAAGTCATGTGCGAGTTGGTTGCGGGCGACGAGGTCTCAACCACCACGAAGCTTCAAAATTATTTGCCACCGGTGATTTGTAACTGTATGTGCACACACTGTTGACCTCTAGTCGTGCTTTCAGACCGATGGGTTGATTTGGAAAGATAAAGGTGCTAGTCGTGGAACCCTTGTGAGTTTAAGGCCCTCAGTGCTTTCAGATCGTGAATTTTTCTATCATCACAGGTGATCGGTGCAATTTCAACAACAAACATGGTAATTTGAGGATCTCTTATTGCGGTGTCATGCCATTTAATGTCCACGTCCGTCATGATTCTTGATTTCATTTTAATGGAATGCCTCCAGAAACTGGGCAAGAAGTCCAAAACATCGAAACATAATCCAAACAAGGTCAGGCGACAGACTCTCAATTCGCAGATTCCATTCGCTTCATGATACCCACATCACCTTTTTCTGAAGACATTGTGCAAGGAGACTCATTTTTCCTACTCACAGGTGTATGGGGGAGGAACCCTACCACCAGGATGGGAACATTTAAGTGCTCTTCGAGCCGATCCTTCCGCACCAAAACAGATGGAAAAGGAGAAGCCGTCCTCTCACAAGGCATTTTGCGATTGCAACCTCGATGCTCTTTGTGATACTGCTTTCTCCTCCTCAGAACGACGATCCTGCAGTTGTAGATACTGACCTGATGAGTACCTTCGGTCGCGTCCGCTCAAGCCACGAGTCAACGAATGCACCAGAGCCATCAACTCAGCATCCTGACTCTAGTTCGGAAGATGCGAAGAGAAATGCTTGGAAAGAGGACATTGAAGCTCTGTACAAAGAAGCTGAAAGCGCACATCATATTGGGTGAGACGATCAGTCGATGACCGATGATCTGTTCCAATCTCGTTTGATTGCAACAAACTTGCAGAGACTTCGAGGCAGCTGCTCATCTTTATGATGCCATTCTTTCGCGCGATCCATATCATACAAGGTTGATACATGCACAACAGATTTTGCCATCGTGAAATTGAATTTAGATCGTTGGCGGGCTTTGCGATGCTGATGCGTATGCGAGGTCATCTGGAAGAAGCCGAAGCGGTCTGTAGCATGCGTTCACCTTCCTATGAGGGAATTGACATGCAATGTTCTTTCTCAGCTTTACTTGCAAGCTATAAAGATCGATTCCGCATTTCCTGATGCTCTCTGTGGATATGGTCTTCTGCTTCGAACTATTGACAGGTAGTGGGCGTCACTGTCACTGCGTTTAAAGAGACTTGAACAAATTTGTGAAGGCATGAGGAAGCAGAAGACATGTACAAGCGAGCTCTGGAACTTGATCCTTGCCATGTCAACACACTTTGCTCATATGGAGCGTTCATGGTCTTGTTGTCACGACGGCTGGACGAGATTTGATCCATCCTTACAGCATACTCTTAAGAACAACCCTGATGAAGCTGAAGCCATGTACTTGAAGGCTTTGAAGATCGATCCGCACCATGTGGATAGGTCTCGTTGACATCGAATTTAAGTCTGCCTGACCTAGGTCCAGCATTTGCAACTATGCCGCCCTCAAGCATGTTGTGAGGAGAGATATGGAAACTGCAGAAGTCCTGTACAGGTCTTGCTAACCTCCCCTACAAGCCAATCTGAATTCTGAGTGTTCCTATGGCAGAATGGGCTTAGAAGAGAACCCAGATCATGTTGGAATTTTGTACAACTATAGTTCTTTGCTTGAAGAGATGGGCAACGATGATGGAAGGTACGGATGTCTGAAAGGCTTGCCCTTGCTCAGCTGTGATCATAACAGGGCGGAAGAAATGTACGAAAGAGCGATGGAGCTGATTCAGCTTCTATCTCCGGGAATAGTGGAGAGCGAATCTGATTACTGCACAGAGTCCTCGGTCAATGACGAAGAATGGTAGCGTGCTCAAAGCATGTTAGTTGGGTCTAATGTTGTGGTTTGGTAGGGATGGAGAGTGCGATGACTATGGAACGGACGAGTACGACGATGAGGCGCAAGAGGTTGCCGATCAACTCTACAAGTTTTCTTTTGGACTCGACATTCATGTGCTCGCAGGATGGTGTCAGTCAGAATGAGATGGCAGAGGAAAAAACAACACCTCAGCTTGAGAGCCATAAACAAGTGAGCACTTAGCCGCAAGATTGGTCTCTTTTAGATCGCGCAGTCTGACGGTTCCTTCAGAGCAATCCTTCCGGCCATGTTGTTGATCACTCACGTGAGTACGCAGTCGCGTGAGGTTCCTAGGCTGCTGTCCTATTTCCCGTAATCACAATAGCACAAGGGAGGAGGGAAGGAGGAGGGAGGGCTGGGGCCGGTAGTCCATCGACTCCATTCAATAAATTCTTACAACATCAGCTCATGATCATCCCTTCTCAGTTTGGGGCGACAGGAGTGGACCTGTACCAGTGGCTGAAGTCGCCGTCCGCATTCCAAACGCCATAGCCCTGCAGGAGGAGGTGAGCGAGGTGGAACGAAAGACCCTCAGTGGGGGAGCATGCTCTACCGCTACGGCATCGCCGTTGGAGCTGCCATCCGTAGACACTGCGTCCCCGTCAGCAAGAGATATCTTCAGCGCGGGTGCGCGTCAAATAAACAAGACATCGGGAGCACGGGAGCACAAGTTCGGTACGAGCAATGAGGGAGAAGCTTGCAAACCAACAGATGACAAACTTGACTTACCGCAGGTGTCATCAAGTCCACAATCAGCCCAATTGTTCTCCGAGGTAAGGCATTTCTGACAACAAGGATCAGCAAAAGCACAGTCAACGGTATTCCGGCTACCTCAGACCAGCATGGTTCGGCCAACATGGTGACACCGAAAGGACTAGCTCTGTCGACACTGCGAGTCAGCGACACGCCAGCTGATCAAGAATGATTGAGGGACAATGAGGATAAGGAGGCACATGGAGCTCAGAGCAGCATCAGTCGCGGTCCGATCAGAGAAGGGGAGAACAAGTGAAGGGAGAGGGAGAGGGTTTTGTTTTTAACGGATTAGAACCTTTGATGAAAACCCTTCGTGAATCATGAGCATAAAGACAGGAAATTAACATGGATTTCGATTGAATGAATTTGTTCATGAGGAGTCTAGCAACATCTATCGCGTGTTGATTTGTTATGTGACCATATGTCAAGATGGGTGCAAACAACGTCAAGCAAAGACATGAAGATCGTCAAGGTACATGAATAAACATGATTGTAGAAAATGTATCACATGAATTCATTTGAGATAGTGAAGATGGGCCCTGATGGAGGGAGAAGAAGGTAAAGAAACGACATACCTGCGCATAATGGCGACGAGCATAGCGATTTTGATCTGGTAGGTCGGGGTGGATAATTCAGGGGTACTCGTTGGATCTGGTGGGGTGATAGGTACCCACCCCCAGGAAGGACTCTGCTGAAATCCTCTCCAGTGTACGGTTGTTAAAGGATAATTTGTGGGTGTATGGAACTGTACCATTAAAAGTACCGGTAGTCTAATTTCTTTCAGGGTCCTCCCATTTCTGAGGGTGGGTTGAGTCTGAAGGGGCACTTGTGCCCTCATCCCACCTCATTTTTGATGAGTAAACTTTTGAGTTGGAACCGGTACGAAGCAGGCCCGCCCCAGAGAATCAGAGTGCGGCAACGGTCTGTCAATTTTCGGTGATGATCTCCGGACCCCCACCCCCCCATTTCACATCAGAACCACCCCGTAAGTGGACAGCCTGCGGCACGACGATCAAGTCAGATCGTCCTCATGTCCTGAGCCCTGAAATCGATGCCAAGGAGAGGAGAAGGGGCGGCCGCAGTCGAGGAGGAGGAGGAGGAGGAGGAGAACGCGAGAGGAACACGAGGAGAAGACATCCATGAGCCGCTCACATCATAGTAGCCTGTGACTCTGTCAAACCTTGAGCACGCGGAAAGAGGATCAGACAGTTTTTTGTGCCAGTCAAATCGACTTTGGAAGCTGCAGGGTCCTGGCAAGACTCTCAACGCAAGCCCGGGGACCTTGAGGGTCTGATAGCTTGACAACGGCTATCTCAGAGCTCCTTCATATCTAGCAGAGTCAGGGACCGACGGTAACTGTCGCAAGGATGGGACAGGAATGCAGCACCTTTGAAACGTGCACTGACGCGCCTGTCGTTTCGATGATGACGACGATTGAGGAGCAGCCAAGTGTCCCGTAAGTTGTTGATTCCTGCATTGAAACAGTTTTCGCGCTGATCGATTTGATTTGGGGCATTCCCTTGGATAAACGTGTAGAGGTGATCAGAGTTTGAGATTTTTTTCGTGTTTTCCTCATCATTTGTTTCATGGCATGCTTGTCAAGAACAGCCTCAAATCACGTCCATGGAAGGTTTGTAGATTGAGATCGGCTCCGACAAGCTGAAATCTCATAGCCTGCTCAGAGACGCGGAAGATGAGGAGGAGCAGGAGGACGAAAGTCTATCCCACGCTACTGCAGACAATGTACATACGAGACAATCTTGAAGGAGAGTGAAGGGAGTTGATGCCTGACCCTTCAGGATAGCGGCACGGCTGCTTCCCCTCTCCATCGTGCGGCTCTGCTAAACGAGGCGGATGAATGTGAAGCCAATCGGAGGCTCGTCGAGGAATGATTCCGCTCTTCAGGTTTACAGCTCATTCAAAGTCGGGCCAACGTCAACGCCAGAGACAATCTTGGAAGGACTCCTCTTCATGCAGGTGATGACATCGATCAGTAGGAGCAAACGTGATGCTGCTGCAGCCGCCTATGCTGGATCACTGGAGGCCGCCAAGGTCCTTGTAAAGTTTGGTGGTGACATTTCATGGTATCCACATTGCAAATCTTCCTGCAGTTTTCTTTGAGTGAAGTCGAATCGATGTTCACGCAGCATCACAAAACAAGGAAAGACGCCTATGATCTTTGCAGCGGAGCAGAGAAAGGCTGAGATGATGAAGTGCTGAAGTTGTCGTTCTAGTACATACATTGACCAGCTTGTTTGTTGGTGCAGGTTCTTGATTTCGCTGGCATCGCCTCCTCAGGTGATAGATCCTCCTGTGCAATGTGCGTTTAACATGTGGAGAGAAGAAAATGAACAAGCTGAATGGCTGGAAAAGGAACTCATTCCAAGGGCGAGTGAGTCTCATGTTTGAGTTGATGGCCCGTCCTCACTCCTCCTCGCCTCCAGGGTTCCCCGGCTGCTTCCGCCCCTCAGTCCCCCCTCTCTCAACGAGGGTGATATGAGCTCCTGCTCCTCCTCCTCCCTTCTCGTTCTCCTCGTTCTCCTTCTCATTCTGCTTCTGCTCCTTCTACTGTTCCTTCCAGTTGTTCTTTCTTCTCATCCTCCCCTTCTCTTCAATCTGCTCCCCCCCTTCTGAACGGCTCGTGCAGCTCGTCCACCATTGACCGTGAAGAGAAAACTTCAAGGTAACTGCTCCTGTCCCTTTCTTGTTGATCTTCGAGTAGGAGTGCGCCCATTGCATCTCCTTCCAAGTTTGCCAGCCCCATCCAAAACGAAGTGCATTACAATCTCTACACGCCTGCGCGGAGGTAGATGGGCAACCACGAAGAGAGGAGCTGAGACTTCATACAGCAGCTTGAAGTTCTGACTGCTCGTGTCTGTGGTTGACGAGAGGTAAGCACAGCAGGATTTGAATGCTACGGAAGAAGCGTAGCTTGCACATTCATGATTCTTTCAAGTCCTATGAATGAAAGCATCAGCGCCATATTGAGTTTTTGGATGAACATTTTTGATGTAATACTGAAGATGAAATTCGTTTCATGTCCTTTTCAACCATCTGACATTCACACTACGATGGTGGATTCAACGATCCTCTGTTTGTTTGTGCGTTCACACTCAGCAAGGAATTATATGATTTCTCGCTGCCATATGCACAGATTCTGGACACATAGTTGTTTGAAGTGATAAAAATACTAACAATCACTCGCACAATCTAGGTGAATTCGGTCTACAAATGTTCTAGGCGATGAGAAGTAGCATGCTTGACTCCTTCGCCTCCAGCTGGAGCCTTAGGTTCTGCCAGTGATCTTGAAAGTCCACTTCCAGTTGTCCTCTGTGTCGATCACAAGGGTAGCCTACACCACACAATGAGATCCAATCTCCCCTCTCCCAACAAGCTCCTCTTCTCCCCGACCCCCTTCCCCACCTCCTCCTTTCCTCTCTCTCTCTCTCTCTCTCTCTCTCTAGCCTATCCTTCTTCTGCTCACCAGCTTAGGTTCGGCGACGGGACCGCTGGGGTTGAAGCGGACTGTGAACTCAACAGGATTTCCTGCAGCATCTAGTGAGAAGCAGCTGGCAGGGAGGAGTAGAGAAACCTCGTCGAGGAAGCGCGCCAGTGACCTCTCTCTCACCAAGGTCATAGCCTTCAACATGTCAGGAGAGACGACAAAGGAGAGAGGAGGCGTTGGGTTACCTGTCTTTGCAACAACGAACTCGGGAGCAGAGTCTTCCGTGAAACGAGCGATGTACTACAAGAGAAGTAGTAGTGAGCTCGCGGAGGGAGGGAGGGAGGGAGGGAGGGAGGGGAGGGGAGGGGAGGGGAGGGGAGGGAGGGAGGAGGGGGAATATTTTACCTGCTCGGAGACCATCGAATTCGGCTCGACGGGAATAGTCGCCAAGCCCTGCGGAACGCCAGGTTCAGGACGAGGCAAGGGAGACAGTCTTGTCCGCACCTGTCCCATGATCTCGAACTCTCCATCGATACGGAATCCAGCTTTCACCTACATCAAGATGTCAAGGAAATTCTCAGGAGGAATCAAACAAATCTTCACCGGCTTCCAGTCGTTCTTCTTCAGGATCTCAGTGTTGTCGATTCCTTTCGCCCCAGTAGCGAAGATGACATTCTGTGTGCGACGTATTACCTCAGGCTCACGTTGCATCTCTCTCTTACCTCCAGCTCATCCTCGTTCAAAGTCTCGCTGGTGACACCCTTGTTGAGAAGTGACTTGTAATCATCCGTGTCCTGAAGCAACCATCAGCGAACAATTCATAGGACCGTGCTTCAACCTTCTGCCTCTTCCCGTTGTTCAGAGCTTCCATCTGATCCCTGACCAAGATTCACACAGTACAAATATGATCGATTTCACCCTACCTCAACTTCCTCTCAGCTTGCCATTGTTTCTGCTGGTTGAACCAGTTCTCATACTGCTGCCTCTGCACCTGTTTCTTGTCCTCTCCAGTGAAGATGTCGATGTCAACCATGCCATCTGCCTTGAGCTGATCCTTGACTGAGTTGTCCGTGCTGTCTGCTCTCAACTTTGTCAGAAAGCAACGCAACAAGTGGTGCTCCAGCTTGCCTGCTCCCCACGCATTCCAACGCTTGTCAATACGGTTGCCGCTAGATCCTCCAGCAACTTTTCCTCTGCCAGCTCCTCCGATCGAGTTGTCAATGACCATTCGATCCTCGAACTCCTCCATCGCGTTCTTTCCGTCACCGACGACACCAACCTGACCGTCTCCTCCATCGAAACCTTCTCCATCGATGAAGCCCTGCGAAATCATGTCACGTTTTTCACCGGCTGCAAAGGGAGAGGTGGGACACTTGGACAAGAAGCGGCACAGAAAAGGAGAGCACAGTTCAGACATGCATGGTAGGAGGGGTATCAGAAGGAGAAGCAAGAGAAGCATCAACAACCTTGTAGTCCATGTCAGGCATGATCTGGTTTCCCTTGCCATCGGTGGTCTTGGCTTTCGGAGGATCCAAGTCATCGAGGTATCCCATCCTCAAGCTGCCAACAGCTACACGTCTGTTGCTCCTCAAGAAACATGATCGGCCATGCGCACGTCTTGGCACGGAAGAGGGAAGGTAAGCTTGGAAACCATTAACAGTCGCAAGGGTTACGGCAAGGAGCACCACCCGGAAGACTATGGTGAAAGACAGATGTCAGTGTGAGGCAGCGAAAGCATGAGACATGCATTAATTCTCATAGCAGATCCTCGTCCTCAAGTTAAAGCAGCAAATTGGCATGGACAAGTAGAGTTCGAACGTCATAGAACACCATCGAACACCTGGAACTGCAAAGCTGCAGGGTTCCAGCCCATGTACATCAAAACGAGAAGCAGCTCTACTGTCTTTGTTGTACAAAACAATGCCTCAACAAAGACAAATTCCTGCTCAACAAATCTCCTGAACTGACTCAGGGAGGACACAGGAACCTTTCGGATCCCCATCCACAGCATAGAGAAAACTGAGACCAGCATGGCGAGTTCCCACGTTGCATTCGATATCTTGTCTTCATCCTTGCCTTCATTACCTAAATCATGTGCCCCCCTGCTGTATCCTCCCCTCTGTCCTCCTCTCTGTCCTCCTCCCCCGTCCTCCCTCCCTTGACCCTGCCCGCTCCTCTCTTACCTGCCATTTTCACTTGTAAAGCTTCTAACAACAACCGTGTATTTAAATTTGCTACTGCTCAACATACATATAATATTAAATAAGTTATAATTAGTACCATCATTATATTTATTGTTCCTTTCTTGTAGGAAACTCATTGTAAATAGAGCTCTTGTTTGTGGCCTCCGCCTGTTTTGCAAATATCAATTTTAATTGTTCTACCACAAATATTCTAAAACTATTTTAATCTGTCGGGTCAGGGTTTTACAGGACAGCGGGCCGGGCGCAACTGCTGTACTGTACTGCAGCTGTCAAGCATTGAGAAGACTCGCCGGTTTTCACCTCCCCGAATCCGAGTGCATCAAGTTCAGTGTCATCGTCTGCTGCTCCTTCTCCTGCTTCTCCCTCCCTCCCTCCCTCCCTCGAATTCTCATACCATGCCAGTGACTAGTGATGTCGAAGTCATTTAGTCATGTTACTTCATTCCAACCAAAGGTGTTGATCACTTCAAACCGAACAAATCTTCGAACGGATCTTTTGTGCCACCCTGTGTATTTGACCCGCTCTGCGAGAAATTGGCCATAGATGCAGCACCTTGCTGAACAGATGGTTCAGTGAAACCGAAAGCAAGCAAGTCTGCTGAGGTAGAAGCGTTCGCAGAAATGTTCATCGTCAGCATGTCATCTAAGAGCGTGTTGGCTGCCGCTCTTGCTGGTTGAGCAATCGGTACATGGCCCGCGTCATCATCGAAGGATATCAAGTTTGCGGTGGGCGCGACAGCTGCCAGTGGTGCTTCTTCCTTCTTGGTGGCAGAAGACTGTTGAATCTTTGTTTGAGTTCCTGCAGCTGTTTCCCTCTGGCTGCTCTCCCCTCTGTCACTCTTAACCATCCCATCCTGATCCCTGGACGCTCCTGTCGGTCTGATCCACTTCCTGCCCGCGATCAAGTTACATGGAGCGATCCAAGTGACGTGCTATGCTACCTCCTGACGTACTTGTTCCTGATGAATTCTTCACGTTGCATGTCCTGGCAAGTTTCAGAGAACAAGTTTCAGAGAACGAACAGAATCGAATCTTGTGGCATCACCGACGCTTCTGGCGATGGCCTTTGTGATTCTGCTAGCCCATGCTCCCATTCTGCTGCCTGCAACACAACAAGCGTCATTGGTCCCTTCAGTGTGGAACATCTCTCATGAGTTTCAGACACATATCACGTGGTTGTTCAGTCAGACTCACAGCCTTGTCATTTCCGACAGATGTCATTGCTCGGATTTGTTCATCGTTCCATGTATCCAAGGTCACTGATCGCGTGCGCGATATATGAGTGCCAAGGCCCTATCATATAAAGATATTCACACACAGAATTCAGAACACAATGGTTCCAGGGCAATAAGATCATCTTAGGATGGAGAAGATCAATGCATACCCTATGCACGCCGAAACAACGGTTGCATATGAAAACCCCGAAAGTCAGAGATGTATATCGCGGATTTCGAGCATGGCAATCTGCGCATAACTTGTTTGCTGGTAGCTGCAGCATTGGTTGTCAGACCATGCAAGAATTGAAATCCTGGTCATTCTTCATCATATTCTTGTTTTAGTAAGGGTCCGATTTTCATCATAGATCTCCAAAGAATTTGTTTTGACACATCCTGGAATCAGGTGCTTGAATGATTGTGGGTTGCTAATGGTATCAAAACAACAAAACAATGGACAGTCCTATGAATGTTTGTTTTGGATACATCATCATGTGAGTGGTAGACACCACCACCACCACCACCACCACCACCACCACATTCATCATTCTTGTCCTCATGTTCTCACTTGTTCTCATCAACTCTTTCATCTCTGCCATTCATCGGCTCATATCGCACCTCCAGCATTGCCTTTAGGGCGGCTGCCATGTCGGATTCCCCGACTATCTCTTATTTTTACTCACTTCACAATCCAAAAAGGCTGCCTCAGAGGTAACTTCAAGGCTAGTGACAAGTCACTCGAGCTGATAAATCGGATCGAACGATGTGTGTTCTTCGTTTGATGTTTATTCAGTTTGAAGTGAGCAATTCGTCACTACTATATCACAAGAAGATCGGACTACTGCTGAGCTGTCGATCTAGCTTGGCTTTCAAGGAGGGGGAGGAGCAGCGCAAAAGCTCTGAATCTTTTCGATGATAACCTGCGACAAGCAGGACGGTAAGATGACGTCATCAATGAATAAGGTGAAGGAAAGACCTGTAGGATGTAGATGGCTCGTTCAGCTGGAGGCGCGACAGTCTCATACTCCTCATGCTCGTCGTTGTAGGACTCAGCTGAGTTCTTCTTCAGGCCGTTCATCTTCTCGCGCTGCATATCGGTTTCTGCTGACTTCTCTTTGGCCTTGTCGGCGGAGTTGGAGAGGTCAACAACTTCCTTCTCGTACTCGATGAGCTTGTTGAAGTGCGAGCTCATCTCTTCCTTCGCCTCATCTTCCACCTTCTTGACAACTTCCTCGCGCGTCTCGAGCTCCTTGAGCATATCCTGCAGGAGCTTCCTGACCGCGCTCGTCTCTGTGAAGGAAGCGAGCTTCTGTTCCAGACTGTGAAATCCCTTGATCTTGACCGCATTGTTGGACTTCTGGGCCCACTCTTGCAGCTTTGAAAGCTTGGCCTTGATTTGCTGTTTCAAAAAGATTTCTCAACATCCCCGACAAACCAATCAATGTTCGCCCTTACCAACAAGGTGTTTGATTTACCAGTTTGTTTTGCCTGTGAGAATTGCATCAGGAAAAAAACAACATCGATTCGAACAATCAACCTGATCAGTGGGCTGACTTTCAAATGTGTCCAAAAGCAGAAGAATCTCCTTGATCAGCGCTCTATACAACGAGTCATCACCACTGTTCGTCACATTCAAGACCTTGGATACCTCTCAGCAGCAATGCTGGCCAGCTCCTTGGGATAAGATTTCTCGAGCTGTTGAACCCTCTCCTTGGCATCCTGGTATGATGCCTTCCACTTCTCGTACTGGACACGAGCGTAGGTAGCTCCTTCTTCTGCTTCTTTCGCCTTCTCAGACTCAAGCCTGTACGAGCTTTCCTCCTGCAACCAAGCTTGGAGAGATTCCTTCTTCTCTTCAAAAGATTTTGCATCAGTCAAGTTACGAGCAATAGCGTCGGCTGTAAGCTTGTTCAAGAGGGACGACAACTTTTCGATGATTACATCTTTTTTGTCGCAAACTTTGGAAGAGGACTCCTGGAGCATGGTATTGATACCCTTGGGGAACACCGCAAGCATTTGTGATCGGACATTGCGAGCTGAGACTTGCTTGTCTTGCCACTGCTGCAGCATGGCATACATTTGCTGAGTTGAAGCCTTGGGGACTACCGAAAGGATTTTTGAAGCCAAGGTCAAGTCGGACAACCTAAGGCTCGACTTGGTGGCCTTTGTGGTCATAGCAGTGGAGTTACGATAGCCACGAGTGCTGAAGATCGCAACAGCAGCCATGGCGACGATGAAAACGCTGCCCACAATAGCCATGCGACTGGACTTCGCCCTCTTGGGACTGTTTCCAACATAGACGGTGAAGACTTGTTGGTCGACGGAAGTCATCTTGAGAACCTGCGCACGTTTCAAGAGGAGAAATCAAGAACTTGATCAAGACAACTTGTCATGAAACACTATGCTCAGTCTTCATCGCCAGCAAACAAATGAAGCAATCAAATGAATTGTGCCAGATGCTAAAAGATTAACTTCATGCTTTCCAGCGACTTCCCTCATACATATCCCCCTCAACCACGCCATCCTTCCTCTCCCTCTCTCTCTCCCTTCCTCTCTCCCTCTCCCTCTCCCTCTCTCTCTCTCTCCCTCTCTCTCTCCCTCTCCCTCTCCCTCTCCCTCCGACTCCTCATTGCCGCTTTCATGACAGCCTCTGGTCACTCGACCCGATATAGAACAGGACCCCATGATGTGTCAACTTCTCGTACATGATAACCCCTACCCCCTTTTAATCATCTATCTGTAGTTCTAGATATGGTCCAGCCATGGCAAAAAGTCACCCACACCCTCCTAAAATCAGCCACCCCCCTTGCCACATACGAAACATAAAAAAAGGTCAAAGACGGTACAGGATTCGGCAGCACTGAAGTCAACTTGAGACGTCTTCAAGTCGCCAGGACCGTCACCGTACTTGAAACTCGGCCGGGCCAGTATGCGAACATCGGATCATGTCGGGTCCGGCCCGGCAAGTTTCTGGGCCCGGGCGTGGGCGGTCACGGTGTTCCGGAAGTGATTTCAGGTTTCATTACAGCACAGATCGTACGAAAAAGACCGTCTCTGAGACTCGAAAGAATAACAGCCGTCAACTCAGCAGTCCGAACATCAAGGACGGAGCCATTCCTTGCTTGGCCAAGGTACATATTCCTAAAAGTGTACATCAGCTCAACCGCAGACAGGCAGAATTGTTTTCAACCAGCTTCTTGCGGAACTGATCAGCAAGCACTTTGATACCCAGAGAAAGAAAGAATGTGCATACGCAGAGAACCTGATTCTATGTCATTTCGACATGCACCACATGCCAAGTAGCCCCTGACCTTCATGCGAACACTTTGTGCGAAAGCAGAAGCAACTAATGCGGCCGCAGCAGCAAAGATTGAAATCTTGCTTCCGCGTGTCAGACGATGGTGAGCTCTAGAGCATGAGCTGCATATCTTCGTATGTTGTTCGTACCTGTGCGCACGAGTGATGAGGGATGAGACTGCTCTCACCAAACCTGTCCAGCAGCTCACGACGAGATCCCTTCTTCGGCAGCATGCTGGGGGTCCCCAACCATGCAGGCTGCCCTCCCTGCTTTTGAAGCCATTGCCGGAACGCCAGCACTGGTCTATCAGCCGCTGCTGGGACGTAGTATCTGATCAAAGACACTAGACGGTCAACACAGCACGATGTAAGATACAAGTGACACCTCTTGAAGTTCGAAGAGTCTTCGTCGCTACGTAGCTGCGATGTGAATCAGCAGGAGAAGTGGAAGGGAGGACCGAGGTAGCAAAACCTTTGATTCCAGTAGAGAGAGAAAGACATTGTCAGAATCGATCACTTGATTTTGAGACAAGTGAGTCATCCATCGCGGTTGCATTCTCACTATGTTTGCAACTATCTGGTTTGGGAAGCGAAATGGGAATCTCGTAATGAGTCGGCTGTGGCCGGGAGCGGTCGGGATGCAATAAGTTCCAAGTCCGAGGAATGTTGAGTTCTTTTCCGGATCACTGCTTGACTTTCTTTCTGTTTGACAATAAGAAAGGTCAGCTTGAAATGCTGATACCCAGAACATGATGAACATGAACTTGATTCGACATGTATGTATGATTGTGCAAACATGACGAGTTAGTGATGGACGTACCGATCTCATACGAAATCAAGCAGGGAGGACGAAACTTGATCACAAACCTGGAGCTAGTGAGACCTTATAGAGCAAACCTTCGACGACACGATCCCACACCTTCTCGAAGTTGAGTTTTGATCCATGTCATAGCCTTCGAAGCCTGCTTCGTGACTCTCAACATACAAGTTGATAGGCCTGCCTTGATCTCGGGCTTCGATCAACCCTGTCATCGTCAGATCAGAACAAAAAGCCTCAGCAGCAAAGTGATGAACCGTGATGCGCGAATGGAACATGGCTGGGATCGACAAGGTTCTCAATAAGGGTATCCTGAAGAAACTATCAGCCCCTCGGGCATGGAGGTCTGAAACGTTCCATTACCCATCCATAAGGCACATCACGCATGAAGAAGTTGGTGGGATCCACGAAGGCAGGGTCGTCAAACTGTGGAATGATTTTTGGTGATTTTGACATGGCAAGATTTCTGTCTGTGTCGGGGAAAATCCAAAGTAATCCCTGAATGAGTTTTCACATGAAGGTTTCCCAACAGATGCCAACTTGCCTGCTCCTCCATCACTGGGTATGATGTTGCACATGCCTTCTTGTCACATTTCATGGTATCCATGGAATCTTGCGGAATTCTTTCGCAGCTTCCTTTCTCGCTGAACTCCCAACCATGATAGGCACATTGCAGATTCCCGTTCTTGTCTATCCTTCCTTCAGAAAGGGGAGCAAGTCGGTGTGGACATTCGTCGGCAAAACAGCTCCAAGTCCCGCTCGGCTGATGCCACCAGACTACGAGGTCCAGACCTGTGAGACACATCAACGCTAGAGAAAAGAGGACGGGAGATCATGGCTGTATGGGAGATCATGTCACATACCAAGAAGAACAACTTGATTCGGTTGATCTTTTTTCAAATCTTTCGCCGGACTGACCGGATACCAGTCCAGCCATGAGAATTTCGAACTTACAGCGTCGGACATGCTAGACGTTTCAGCTCTCCCCAAGGTCGATCTTGTCTGCCTCTTCACCAAAGGATGCAGGGCAGGAGAGAACGAAGATGGTCTGTGATGAGGAGCCGTCAAGCTGGGCACTTTCTTGTCTAGCCTATGCTTCCCTCCATTGATCGGAATATGAGAAGTGACATGAAACGACGACGCGGAGCCGATGAGATATAAGTGAAGGAGCATGCGGGATAACCGCATCTTTCTGTCAAGCAATGCAACAAGTCAGACCGTGACTGTCCATAAGCATTGCAGATGTTCTGTACTAGTTCAACATGAGTTCAGGATCGGACTTTCCCTCAACGTCACATGAGCCTGTCTCTGATCACACCTCCTCCTAGCCTCTCTTATCCAATCTCACAGATATTTCCCCATTCTCCCCCAACCTCGCGCTCTCCTCCTCTTGGCTCGTCTCCTCTTCACTCCTCGCGCGCCTCGTTCTCGCTTGCATAGCTCATGGATCCCCGACGGGGTTGCTGCCTTTTCAATCACGTTGGACTCAAAGGCATTTTATTTTGATGCCTTCTGTGTCAACAACAAGAGTCATCCGAGGCAGGCTTGTTATTCTTCAAACAAGTGTGCTATGAAACAGAGCGGTCACAGGCTCGGAGGGCCGTGCACTTGAACGAGCGCCGGAGGAATCAAGAAAGTGTGCACGGCTGGTGCACGGTAGAAGAGTCAAACAGACCCCAATGAAGTGATAGGAAGAGAAAGACATGCAGCACACTGTAACCCATTGGCAAACAACCGTGAATATTTACACATCCTCCTCAAAAACTTTCCTGAGCTTCTCCTCCTGTTGCTTCGAAAGTTTTGGTGGGATCTTGACCGCGAAATGCACAACAAGATCCCCACGATCGGCTTTCGTTGATTTTCCCTTCATGAATCCATAACCCGGAAACCGCATCTTCTCGCCCATCTTTGTAATCTCCTTGTTGTTCAGTACGACCTGGCTCCCGTCCAAGTGATCCATCTTCCTGCTGAACCCCAGCAGCGCTTCCCGCAAAGTCAGGCTAATATTGGCATGCAAGTCATATCCCTCGCGCCAGAAAGTCTTGTCCTTCTTCTCCTTCAGCACGAGAACAAGATCCCCAGCATCTGCTTGCGGCATCTGATTGCCCTCCCCATAAAAGACCAATTTCTCGCCTTCCATCATCCCAGGAACAACCTTCACCTGCACGGTGTGCTTCCGAGACACCTTGCCATGTCCATGGCAGACGCTGCAGTGCTCTGTGACGACGAAGCCTGCCCCGTCGCAGGCTGGGCACTCCATCTCAGCAAGACCGAAGGGGGTCTGTACCACCTGAGCTCCCCTCCCGTTGCAGTGGGGGCATCGCTTGCTGTGCTTTGCTCCTGAGCCTCGGCACGAGGGACACACTTCGGTCCTATGGTACGAGTAGTTGGAGACTCGACCCTTGAAGCAGTCTTCCAAGCTCATGTCGTGATATACCACTGTGTGCTGTACCTGCCTCCCCCAACGCTTCCCGCTCTGGTGCGAGCTTGCAATCTCTTCTGGCCCATTCACATACATCCAGTCGGAGGCAAAGTATGACAGAACCCCGACAAGCAACGACCACCAGAGCATGTTCCACAAGAAATCATCTTTGTGGCCTTTTGTTTCCTGATTTGTTGCCACGGACGACAGGTCAGATCCAAACTGCTCCCGCAGTTTCCTGTTCAATCCGACGAGTTCTTCTTCAGCTATCTTGAGGTCCCATCCTCCGTTGCTTCTTTCTGCCACTTTCTGTTCGAACTCTACTCTCAGGTGTTCAACCGCTGCATGTTGACCTAACGTACACAGTCAACCAAACATACACATGCTCGTCCTGTCCTTTCCTAAATTAATTTCAAGACCATTTTAACCTCTAGCGAAGAATTATCATCATTCAAAAACAACCAAACATCTTCTCCCATCCTTCTCTCATTCCTTTCCTTGTTTCGTTTGCATACACTGACATGCGTGAACACCTGGCGGGCTGGCTTCAACGCTGTCACCCGACCTCAATCTCCCTCTCTTCTCACATCTCTCTCCTCTCTCCTCTCTTCTCACCTTCATCCACCTTTTGCTTGAACCTCGCAAGCTCCTCCAGCGTCTTCTCGCGTCGCGCCATCACTGCGGGCCAACCCTCTAGTGGTGTTTGCGAGGCAGGGTGGAGCAGGAGGCAGCCCTCCAGGTGGGGTAGTGTTGCAGGGAAGTATAGACTATGGGGGGTACTCCCATGCCCTTGGTGGGGTACCTACTGCTGGGGGTGGTATATGGTGATCTGATGGGGTGGGGTTCAGTAGTTCGCTGTCTCGTGCATGGTGAGTCCAGCAGCGCTTCACCCCCTGCTCCTCTCTCCTCTCTCCTCTCTCTCTCTCTCTCCCCCCCTTCTTCCTCTTCCTCCTCTTCCTCCTATCCTATCTTGCCTGGGTTCGCATTTCTTCTCCACATCTGATTCCTAGTCCCTGCTTTCATGTTTCTCATCCTTATCGTTGATATCTGTCGTTGATCAACACTTATACACTTGTAGACGAGATGGCCTTTCAACGAAATGTTGCAATTGAAGGATATCGATAGCTTTCAGGTGACATGATTATGTAATTGATTGTGTTGAAGTCAGAATGTCGATGATTCAAAGAAAAACAATGATAGGACTGAAGGGCTTTCGAAGGGCCTATTCATGTCGAAAATTTGCCGATTTCTTGAGACATTTCATACCCGTCTTTCTCCCATAACATCCGTTAGTGTTGTGTGAGATGCTGATTACACCTCCTTTACAGATTTTCTGAAGGCAATGCGTTCCGACCTGTTGAGCCATGGCTTCCCCATGCTGTAAATTGTTGTGCATAACTCATGTCTTACTAGTAGAGTAAATGATGATGTGTTGTATGCGTATGCTGTATTTGTCTCTCGATTCCTACTAGTCTTATGGTCGTGAGCAAGTTTGGAGTCGTCTCCATCACCGCTATGGCCTCATGTAACAAGTCTACCATCCTCTCCTCCCAGTTCAGCCATGGAACTCCCGGATCTCTTGCCGCCATGTTGCCATCACAAGATGCGAGACTGAAGTAAGGTGGAAGAACAAGACGAAAATGCTACTTCATGCGTGAAGATGCCGACTTCTTGTCCAATATTTCTCCTCCTCCTGTACCTTCCTCACTGAGCAACACGATCCAATACAGAGCGCATAGATTCGACAGCAAAGGAGCTGACTCGAACCGTAGATCGAGGGCCGCAGTCTGTTCCATGAGGAGAGACACTGACAGTCCAGTTGAAAGAAGCGGGCAAGCAGCCTCCGAAGCTGCGAGCAGCCTCCGAAGCTGCGAGGAGCAGCAAAAGAGACTCAAACTGAACATCGGACGGTCTACATCACATGATGTTGATAGCTACTACGATACTTGCGACAAAATTTTCGGCCCTCATCAGTGACTTGGTGTGTGATCGTGCGAATCTGAAAGCTGATGGGTGTGATCAAGGATTGATCGATGAGTTTGATCACTGATGACAACTTCATTGATGAGTGTGATGATAATCATAGCTTACGTCTGTCGTCATCGTTCAACGTCACACTGCCAACGTGACGGTGACTGAGCTCAGCGGCTGACCCCCGGCCATGTCAGCGGCCCGGGAGTCACTGGGCGCAGCAGGCGGCTGACTGAGCAGAGTCAGCAGGAGTCCACGGGGTCCGATCAGCAGGCCCGGACTCGAGTCAGCAGGGGAGTCAGCCCGCCGGTCGGTCAGAGAGGGGACGAGGCCTGGTCGGGGAGATCTAAAGGGAAACGATGCTGGAGCTTGGAGCGGGACGAGGGATGGCGGGGATGGCGGGGATGGCGGGGACGATGGCAGCAACAAGGATGATGAATGATGATGTGAGAATGAGGAGATGTGAAGTTGCCTTCATGCCAAGCTCTGGCTGTATGCTTTCCCAACCAGGTTGGGTCAGAGCCCCGACGGTCTGCAGCAAAGGCAATGGCGGGTTCAGGGAGGTGCGGAGGAGCAGCAAAAGTGTCTTGCGGATGCAGGTGAAAGAGCGGGCAGATGAAACCATCAGGCTGAAGAACTCTCTGTTTGTTGTGCTAACTTCGCTGGCGATCTCCATTTGCTATGCCGATCGTGCAAACATTGCTGATGCTATTTTACCCATGTCAGCGGAGCTAGGCTTCGCAAGAAGCGTAGAGGGGATTGTCTTATCCTCGTTCTTCATAGGATATGCATCCACGCAGATTGCTGGTGGTTGGCTGTCCGACAAATTCGGAGGAAAGAACGTGCTGTCTGTCGCTGTCTTCCTCTGGTCAGTCGCCACAGTCTTCACTCCCGTGTTCGCTCGATCGGGCCTGTACAACTTGATTCTGATCCGCATCCTCATGGGCGTGGGAGAGGGTCCGGCGTTTCCTGCGATCCATTCGATGATTTCGAGGACGATACCGAACGAGCGGAAAACCACAGTCGTCGCTATCGTCACTGCCGCGAGCTACGTCGGATCCCTCCTTGCATTCGCTGTTTGCCCGGCGATCATGGCTTCCTCCTCCTGGGACAGCGTCTTCTACAGCTTTGGTAGTCTGGGACTTGTCTGGCTTCCACTCTGGTTTTTGTATACAAGGTTTTTCCCTTCCCTTGACAAGTCAACAGTCGCAATTACAGGTGAAGGAACTGAGATTGTTTTGCGGGGGGAATGAAACCCTTGCTTGTCAGACGTTTCAGGCAATACTGCACCAGGAAACAATGTCTTGGAGCTAACAAGATCACTTCTGTTCAAGAAAGAAGTCTGGGCGATCATCGTAGCACAATACACTCAGAGCTGGGTAGTGAACATTTGTCGCCTCAACTTCCTCTCAGAAGTGTTTCAGGGGCTGTATGGAGTGATGAACTGGCTTCCAGCATACATTAACGAAGAGTTTCATGTGTGTGCGACTGTGAAGTTTTCTCTGCGCTGACAACTTGATGTCTTCAGGTCAAGGTGGAAGACTTAGCAGGATTCACTGTCCTTCCCTACCTGCTGCAGGTGGGAAACTTTTTCATGAGACACGCAGTAGAGAGAAGGACGAGGAGGAGAAGTTGGGACTAGAAGGAGGATGAAGAGAACAGGGTCTAGGAGACAGAGATTGAAATGGAGGAGGAACAAGATGAGTTGGATTAAGGGGTAGACACAAGCAGACGAGGAGGAGGAGGAGGAGGAGGAGGAGGATGAGGAAGAGGAGGAGGAGGAGGTCACTTGTTGGATCAGGGAGGAGTTGGACTGGTCTCTGGAGTGATAGCAGATAGCCTTATCAGCAAGGGGATTCGAGTCAAAGTTGTCAGACAGGTCAGTCCTCTACTATCCCCTCCTCCACCTCCTGCTCCTGCTTCCCAATCCCTCCTGATCCCTCGCGCCCTCGTCTCACGTTCCAGACTAGCTGACTTCAACCTTCCTTGTAGGCGATGCAAGGGATCGGCATGCTTGGTCCTGGCCTCCTCCTGTGCTTTGCGGCAGGCTCGCATTCTGCTCAGGCTCCTCCAGCCGCTCCTGCCATCTCCGTCTGACAGGTCCAGCAGGAGGCGACTCTCTTCCTTGCAGGCGGCCTGGGGCTCTCAGCTCTGACGTTGGGGGGAGTGTCTGCCAACCATCTTGACATCGCCAAGAGTGAGCACTTGCTCCTGCTGTCCCCCTGCTCATCCCCAGCAGAGAACAGCGGCCTGGTCTTCGGCATCGGCAACACAGCTGGCACGTTGGGAGGGTTTGTAAGCGTTGCACTTTGCGGATGGCTGCAGGAGATTACACACTCATGGCCAACGGTGAGGAGGATGAGGATGAGGATGAGGATGATGATGATGATGAGGAGGAGGAGGTAGACACATTTGTCCCTTCGAGCTGAAGTTCGTGCAGGTCTTGACAGTCATCGCAGCCCATTATGCTGTGGGGGCGTTGGCTTGGGTTGCCTGGGTGGGGGATGAGGAAGTTGTGCAGGACACAGTGGTAGAGGGGAGGAGATGACGAACTTCGGAGCACAGAATTTTCAGTATCATAACAAAAAGAATCAAGACAAAATTACAAATCCAAACACGACAGTTTGGAAACTGAGCAGCCGTTTCACTGAGTGTAGCTCTCCCTAATCGCCGCCGACTGCTCGAGCGCGTCAAAGATCCTTGCCCCCACCTCCAGCCCGTCCTCCTCCTCCTTCCCCTCTCCTGCTACCACCTTGAGCACGTTGTAGGCCTGCGCGAAGCCGAGGACGACTCCCTTGAGCAGTTGGTCGTGATCGAGCTCCATCTGCGACACGGGCTCTGACTTGGAGACTGCGAGGGGGAGCATGTGGACGCCTCTGAAGGGCGACCCCTTGCCGGCCTCGTTCAACCGGAGGATATCCTCTCCGTAAACGCGCGAGTGCCTGTCCTCGAAGAGAAAGTCGAGGATGCGGGGGAAGGAGCTGAGGCAGGTGGGGGCCAGCAGCCGCTCGAAGATCTTGAGGAAGCTCTGGGGAAGAGGAATCTCGTCCGGCCAAGTTCGAAGCACAAGGAGGTGCGTACAGCCGTCCTCTACCGCTGACCTGTACGGGATGGGCTCGAAGACAACAGCATCCACCATACGATCTCTCTCCAGCCGCTCCTCCCCCTGCCATCTCTCCACAGGGACGGGGGAGCAGCCAGCGATCCCGGGGAGGTAGCAGGAAGCCCTCAAGCACTCGAGCAGGGAAGGAAGATCCTCGAAGTATCCTTTCCGGCTGCTCATTGCCACCGCTCGTCCTCGCTCGACGCTGCTCGCTACGATGTTGAGAGGTTGATGCCTGTTCCTTGCAGCAAAGGACGTCCAGTTGAGTGCAGCCGCTCCATCATCCTCCATCATGAATCTGCAGATCCTGTCGAGGGAGAGGACAGGCACCAGCTCCTTCTTCCTCGAGTGCCGGAGCATGTCGATGACTCGGCGGGTGTCAATGAAAGTCTTCCCGCTCTTGGGCAGCAGCTCGAGGAAGAAACGATGAGTCTCCTGTACTCCTCCTCCAGCAACAAAGTACGTCCCGATGAGCGAGCCTGCCGAGGACCCGTAGATCGCGTCAAATGCTTCCTGCATCCCCAGATGCTCAATCGCCGCTGCCATCCCAGCCGAAACGCATCCTCGCATGCCTCCTCCTTCGATCACCAGGCCCAGCTTGAACTTGTCCCCTCTCTTCCCCGGCTGCGATCTGCTTCGCAGCCTGTCGCCCAGGATCTTGAGCACGGCATGGTTGCCAGATTTGACCATGTTGTCTTCCGAGCATCCTCTCCCCTTGATCTGTTTGTAAGCGTCATCAACCGGAATGCGGCAGTTGTCGATCAGATGAGCGAATTGCTCTTCTGTCTCCACGCTCATCGAGATCTTCTCTTTGGACCAAACTTTTGTGAGCGCCATCAACTTGTTGAGCACTCGCTCGTACATGCTCGACCTCTTGGATCGGAAGCCCTCTTTGATGTACGCATCGTCAATGCTCACAGTCATGCGTGTGCGAGCAACTGAAAGCTTCTTCTTCGGTCTCACCTGTACTTTCTGTGGCAAAGGCGATCCGGATGGAAGTAGCTTTGTGCTCAGAGCACTAGGCACGAACGCGCAGTCTCGCGCATGTGCAAGGGGCAGAGGAGGACTGAGTCTAGAAGCTCTGCCCGCAGCATCTTGATGCACGTGATACCCACCAGTGAACCCGGCGATGCACAAGGAAATGAGAGAGGTAAAGGCCGCAAAATTTCCCATCATTGTGTACAGAAGGACCTTGAAGGGATTTCCAGTGATGAAGCTCCACGTTCCTCCAGACCTTTCAATTCAAACAAGGTCCATCCTTCTTCAGGCTTCTGATCGCCCTGCTGCAGCACCGTGTACCTATCGTTACCGACGAGTGTTTCGGGCTTGTTGTTAACTGTATTCTGGTGATGGTTTCAAGTGTGATGCTTTCAGTTGATCTTGTACAAGCACTCGCTAGCTTGTCTCACTCACAATCTTGCTTGTTTCCTCCCTGTTGCTCCCTGTGCCGGCGTAGTCCTTCACTCAAGCAGTTTAAATTGGTTTTATAAATCTAAAATAATGTTAAAATGTCATAAATAGTTTTTTCATATTTAAAATTAGTTTTTCCCTGTTAAACCACCAAAAACCGATATAGAATATGAAACACTGGACGGTTCAATTCAATTTCCTACTAAGTTCTATAGTCAACTTGGACCAAATATTGACTATATACCATCATGGAAGTCAATTTTCAACTAATTATATTGACTACAAGCATTGATTGGAATCTCAAGATATTTACTATAACCCCTGCAGCGTTAAGTCTCTTCATAGCGTGCAAGGGTTCCATTCCACTACCCGTACCCCTCATCCATGACCCACCCTCTACAGGATCAGGGTATCAACACCCCTGCTCTTCAATCATTACCCTACCTTTTTATCACTATTACCCCAGTATTTTTCTACAATGTGGATACCCCTGCTTACACACACCCAGTAATTCAAAGGACACAATGGGATTACCCCCTCAAAACACACCCTACCCTCCTTTAAACCTGTCACGTGAGAAGACGGATCTCTTCCTACACCCCTTGATATCATCAGGCACGACTCACCGCCAGTTACAAAATCGTTACAAACCTTTCACCTGCGCGGCCCGGCCGCCCGGCCGGGCCGGCAGTTACGCCGGGTGCACGCCGCGCGGCGGCGGCGGCTGAGCCCCCCCCCCCCTCCACTGAGTGACTCCCCCCTAGCCTGGCCCGGCCCGGACTGGCATTCAATGATTCACTGAGTGTGGCGGCCCGGTCACGGTGCAGCCTCGCCGGCGGGTAGTCACGGCGGCGAGCCTCACAAGGCAAGTTCATTCCGCCGTGAGTCACAAGTTCGGTGAAGTTCATTACGGTTTCCCGGCGGAAGTTCTTTCAACTTACTGACAGTGAGTGAACTTTAATTCCTTTGATTCGAGGTGGCACATGGCGGGCCGGGCTCAGTCCCGGCCCGGCCCCCGGCCCGGCACTGGGCCGGCCGTGCCGCTGCCCGGGTGGCACACCGTGACTGGGGGTGAGTCGGTCATCATGGCGCGGCCCACTCCGGGCCCGTCGGCATATCATCCTCGTATGTCTACTCGCTACCGTTTTACTAGTGACTACAGTGATTTCTTGAACTCAGTGTTCACGATTTTACTGACTGCCCTCCCGGGCCCGGCGGAGGCCGCGCGCTCGCGGTGACACTTCAGCTGTCACGGTGTAGCGGGGCCTCAGGGCCTCCAAGCCTGGCCGCACTGCGGCTGGCAACACTGAGCAGTATGATGAGGGGAATTCATGGCATGATCATTGCCAGGAGGATTTCCGATGGCACGCAGTCACCAACTGCATCATGAAGATGTAAGGACCGCATAGTTCCTTTAGGCCGACGCTCCAGGTTGTGCGCATTGCTGTTGCAGTATTATTCTTTTTCATTTATTTGATTTGTGAGCGAGCAGATACTTCAAACCCCAAAAAAGCATCCTGAACCTACGTGAACGATACTAGACGTCCTACGACACGTGAGAAGCAAAAACCTCATCGAAGCAGAGACACAAGTCAGGAACAACAAACACAGCCATCACGACACGACATGATCTAATTTCGTAAATACATTCGTCCGCTAATGCTTTGCAGAATCGGCATTGATGTACTCTCCCGACGCAAGCCCATAATAGTTGTGGGAGTTGCGAACACGCAGCTGTCCAGCTTCTGCACGGACGTATGGGCTGAGGTGACTGTTGATGTATGCGATATCCTTGGGGACAAGTTCTCCCTCGTCCTCCTGTAAAGTTCGGTCAGAAGCAAGAACTCTCTCAAGCATAACAAACGCACCTTCAGCTTCGCAAGCTCCACATGATCGTGTGCCTTGTGCATCTTGGTGGAATGAGTGCTGTAGTGCTCCACTGCAACAAGCCCACCGATCCCGAAGGATGCAGCAACGAGACTCAACTTCAAGATGCCCATAGATCGATTACTCATTTTGATTGGTTTTGCTCAAGAAATTTAGAATTCTTTGCCAGAAATTGATTGGAGTTGAAAGCTTAGAGAGAGTGAAGTGTTAAGCAGAATCACGCGCCACAAAATGTGGAATAAGCGACTGAGAGTCCTTGACGGGGAAGAAGTTATCAAGTAGATCGGAGTTGGATCAAATAGAAGCTGTTAAGAAGATAGCACAAAACTCTTCGATGTTGCAGAGTTCGAGACGGAGTGGAAGCAGGAGGACAGGCGGAACAGAAGAAATGGACGGGGAGGGGGGGGGAGAGGTATGATGTTCAAGGATGTATCTACGCTATACGGGGTGGTACTTTTTGAGGTGATGTGGGGTAATGACAAGGTCATGGGTACCAACAATTGAGAAAAGGGTGGGTATTTTGATATTAAAGTAGGGGTAATAAAGACTGTAATTTCAAGAGTAGGTGGGTGGTGTGATGTTGGGTAGGGTGCATTGCTGACTTGGTGGTTTTCAGGCTACAATCATGGGTCTTGCAGGTAGGGGTACATTGCCTTATTACTTCGCTCTCACAAGTGGATTGTGTAGTTGGGTGGGGTGGGGTGCTTATATTAAGCATCCAGTGGCCGCATCAGATAGTGAGGGTTGAGGGGGTGGGGTAGTAAAGATAACGGGTGATGTCACGAATGAAAGTAAAATCAAAGGTGAATTCCTGGATATGATCAGAATTTTGGTGGGTGGGGTACGATCGAGGAGGTGGTAGGTGCATTTCATGAGACTGCAATCACGTCAGTGGGTGGGGTCAGTTACTTTTAGAAAGACTAAAAGTTAATATAAAGTTCCATTTTTGGAAAATAAAATCCAAAAACAAGGTCTTTCGCGGTGCAAATGACTCTCCAGGGGTCACATCGACATTCGGCCCCACTTTCCATAGCACCATAGGCTGGCATGTTCCTCAGACCAAGCTACACCCAGTTCAATGGACCTGTGAGTCCTAGGGGGTGGACCTAAGGCTACTACTGCTTACTGAGACATGCTGAGACCTGAGGTCTTAGGACTGTAGGACTTGATGAGCTACGAATGTAGATTGAAACGTTTGGTGCGCTCTGTCCGAAGTTACACCTCTGGCCTGCGAAAGTAATTTAAAGTGCTTACTAGTTAGGCGCCATGATCTTCAACTTTAGTAACCGTTGAACCGTGCCGCCGTGCCACGGCACGGTCACCTATAGAGCCGGCCCGGTCACGCCGGGTGCCAGCGGCCGGGCCCCGCCCGGCCCGGCGGCGGACTCACTGAGTCAAGTCGTCATTCACGCCGAGTCACTCGGTGGCACGTACCCATAGAGACGGTCACGGGTGTTTCCGAACGGTTACTACTTTAACGCATCCGGTCCAGGATCTTTCGTCAGCTCAAGGCCTCCCTGTCCTACGCTGCCATCATCGCGGGTGGCCATCCCAAGTTCCCGGTATGCGTCAGTCATTCCTTCGGCGGCGGCGGCGGCGGCCACCCGGCGACACGCCGACGGTCGCTGGCCGCGATCATCGGATGGCCGCGCGGGGACTTGTCCTGCGCGCCGTTAAGTGAAGGTATCAGTTAAGTTTGGGGGACAGCAGTCGGCAGGGTTAGGTTTGGTTCTCGCTGTCTTTTCTCTTCTCGCCGTTTGGCCGCTGTGCGACAGTGTCAGGGTCAAGCCTCCTCGCCTCTCCTGATTGTCCTCGTACTGATTTTTAACTTAACTTTGAGTAAAAGTCTACTTTAATCGGATTGCGGCCCAGGCTGTGAAGTCACGGTGGCACACTGAACTGAACTCGGGCCGAATGAGCCCGATCGGACTTCCAGTGAGGTGACTCAGTCGAATCCGAACCGGCCGGGCCGAAGTAAGGTTATGTGCCGCTGTACCTTTCAGTACCGGTGATTTTCTGTCTCATTCAGATGGTGGGGGTACACCCCGAATCGGGGAGATGCGGGATGTTGGAGTCAACGTTTATGGCGCGAGGGGGGAGATGGCGGCGGCCATCGCAGACGCGACCATGGCGAACTACATGGAGGCCGTGCAGCAGCGAGGGAGATTCGTCATAGCGATGTCCTGCGGCCCAGAGCTCGAGCTCCTGGCAGAAAGATTGACCTCGGAGCCGTACGTTTCCTTTGTCGACTGGAAGAAATGGTTCCTGTTCATGGTGGACGACCTGTGTGTGGACCTGACCAACGAGAAGAGCAAGTATAGACAGATGAACGAAATCTTCCTCGAGAAAGTGAGGATCCCCGAGCTCCAAGTCTTCCCTGCGTTCAACTCCGACATCTTTGCCGACGACAAGGGCAACGTGTGTGAGCAGGCGGCTGTGGATTACGAGCAGCGGATGCGAGAATGTCTCGGAGAGGGAGAGAAGATCCCGGTGGTCGATCTTGTTGTGCTGTCATCGGATGAGCATGGGAACGTGGCGTCTTTCGTCAAGGACCATCCTCTCCTCAGGAACCAAGTGCGCAACTATGAGCTGACGTGGGGGGCGATGGGGAAATATAAAGAGCTCTCACGCAATCAGGTAAGATCTTGCTGCTCTGCTGCTCAGCAGTGGAGGGAAAGACAAGAGGGAGACGGAGAGATCAAGGTTGAATGATGGGTGCCATATGATGCAGATAGTGGCACCTTTGTATGAGTGCGAGGTCAGGGAGGAAGCGAGGCTCACGGAAGGAATGAAGCACAAGTTGTCACAGGTGAGAGATGTTATGTTGAGAGATGTTATGTTGATTTTTCTTCTTCAATGCTTTCATGTCAATGGGATTCATGATTGATGGGACATTTCAATCTCAGAAAGTCTCTATGACATTGAGTCTGATCAACAACGCGCGGGAGATTTTCCTTACACTGACAGGAGAGGGTAACGATGTTTGTTGTTTGAAGGATGTGAGGAATATGAAATGTTGACCAAAACAAACAGCATCTGCACCTCTTCTCAAAGATTACTTTGGAACTTTTCCCGACAAATCACTTCCGATTAACATGATTGGTATCAGAACAAGCCCTAAGGTGACAAGTGCGAGATGAAGAGAGGGAGACAGAGGGAGGGAAGGAAGGAGGGAGGGAGGGAGAGGAGAAGTTGACAATTCTTCTGCTCTCAGCTGTTTGTAGATCAAGACAGCATGAAAGATGTCGAGTTAGCACACTTGTTGAAAGGTTTTCAGGTGATGTGATAAATTCTAGCGCAAAGGGCAACTTTGATTACTTTGTTCAGGTCAAAGATTATAGCTACCTGATTTCTATCAAGCTTGAAGAGATGAAAAGTCGGCTTCTTTACTCTGTCTTGAGAATGTGCTTTACATGTTCTTTTCTGGTTACAGACGATGAGAGGGGGTTTGGGGATGTTGAAGATTATCCTTTGCCTGGGAACGTGCTTCGTCGCCGTGAGAAGGCGAAAATTGAAAGGTTTGTTGAGATTTGTTGTGCAATATTTGATCATCTTCGTCCCATCAAGGGTTCACAGCGAACATGAAGTCAAATTGTTCGATCAAGAATTCACGTGAGATGTGAAGGAAATCATATGAAAACACTGCTGATCATAAAGACAGGATAACAGCGATGGACCGAAACTTGTCACAAGTCCTGAGCTTGAAAGATTCAGAGGATCTGTTGTATGATGTCACGACGTTGGACGAAGAGGGTGATGGAGAGGATGACATGTTGGAACAAGCAATGTTGGAGGAAGAGATGTTCGAAGAAGAAGAAGTTCCCCCTGATTACGATGTTTTGATTGTTCCTGATGACTGTAATCTTGCTACTGCTGTCAGGTCAGATGTTTCTTACTGACCGAGTTGTATTCTGTATCTGAATATGAATTCAGAAATATTCAAAACACAAAGAAGCGAATTTTGTTGAGATCAGGTTGAGCTGATCCTTGTCTGCAGTTCATTGGTTACATGAACTACAGGAGTTCACAGTTGGGATGGTTCTATTGTTGTGACGGGAAGCATACACGTTGCAGGTGATGATTTGTCAGTCGTGTCTTTTGATTTGTTTTCTTACGATCTTTTTCACTCCTCGCAGGAGCTTACAACTGTGGAAAGGTCTTCCATTGACGTTGCTGCTTGATGCGATTGGTTCTGACATGTTGAATCTTGCTTCATCTTGCCCCTCAGAACTCGGAAGGTAAGATGTCCTGTGAAGGAGTCCGGAGCATTAGATGTAATGTCGAATCACACCAGACAAGACAGTGCTGTCAGGGATGTGGAAATTCGAGGATGGGAGCAGCTGCACATTTCAGCGGGTATTTATGATTGTTCTTTGTTGTCGCTCGTCGAGAATTTGACAAGTTTTTACAGTTGACATTGATGCATTCAAAGTTTGACGCAATTGTACAGATTGACAACAAGACTGGTGTGTATGTATGTTTATATGTGAGTGTTTGTACCTTTTGTCCATTTCATCGAACTAGTTTTGTTGATAAACTTTGTCTCGTTCGTGACTTGCAGTGATTACCCTTACCATGGCTTAATGCTCACAGTTTTGTTCAGGTGGAACATTTGACTTCATCAACTGTCAATTCCAAAACGATCTCGGGCGATGTTTAACGATCAGTGGAGATTGTGTTGCAAACATCAAAAGATGCACATTAGGGGCAAACTCAGATGAAACTCGCGTCCCTGTTTCATCCTGTTTACATCTCTACGATCAGTCGAAGGTGTCTCAACCGTCGTTGAGGGATTTTTATGTGATCACAATGACAGATCAATGTTGAAGCCTCCCGAATTCAAGGATGTTTGAATTGTCTTGTTCTTTTGGACAACAGTGAGGTAGGAAAACCTTGGTTGCACTGCAAGTTTGTATTCCTAAATTTTCATCGCATCCCATCTCATCCCATCTCATCCCATCCCATCCTCGTCGCATCCTCGTCAACTCCTAGTGTCTCCTCCTCTCTTCCCGCTGACCTTTCCTCTTAAGGCTTCCCTTTCACACTGCGAGTTCGCTGAGAACAACATCTTTGCGTTGAGCATGAAATCGAGGAGGTGAGATAAAGATGCCCTGTCTTGTGTTCACTGTTGTTTGCAGCAAGGTGACCATGACCAACTGCAATGTTTTGATGAATAATGGAGCAACGCATCGATGGAAGAAAGAAAACACATTCGCAATCTTCTGGATTGGGAAGAACAACGAGGTTCAGATTGTCTTGAGATATTGCTTGTTTGCATGTGAGAAAAGAGAGTTGTGGGCATCGAGCGGTGCTCCTGCTCAGTTTGTAGATGAGCTCAACACCTTTGCGATGTGAGTAGTGAGACATGGGATGTTATGTACAATGATGATGATGATGGAGATGATGATGATGTAGAAGAAGAAGAAGAAGATATGACCATGAAAATTATGATGACAATGTTTTTGTGATGACGGCCAGCGTGATGAAGATGATCAAAAAGAACACAATCTTCGCTGTAAGATAGATTGCAAACAGAAAACCTTTCAACAAGACACCAAAAAAGAATAAACGACAGAAGCGAATGTTTGGATGAGAGACTGGAAAAAAAACGTCGCGAGGATCTTCACGCTTGTTGCCCGAGCAACCGAACGTCGTCTCGCAGCTCGACGCCTTCATGCGGCTGACCCAAGGAAGTCAGAGGCAAGCGATTTGAGAACAACAAGTGCAAGGGTTTGACGGCATACAGAAACACGAAAGACAATCAAATTCACTTTCATCTCATCGTCATCTTGTTTACATACCGTTTGCGTTGTGAGCGTGAGATCCAAACCCTTGACAGCATACCACCTGAAACATCCCAATCATCATGTACTTCTCACATCATCAAGCGCGCATACAAGTACACCGATGCTCCAACAAGTACGATAGAGTTGAGAACTACAACACAGATGTTCTGAACCTCAACATTCCATACGAGGACGGCGATGAGGAGCTGAAAAAGACGAGAAAGTCAAATGATTTCTTCTCCGCCTCCCTCTCCCTGACTCCTGCTGCCTGTTTTGTCGCTCCCTCAGTGAGCTCAACCCTCCTTTGCCCCTTCTACAGTTTTGGCTGCTCCAGCTCATCCTGCTCCTGCTCCTGCTCCTGCTCCTGCTCCTGCTCCTGCTCCTGCTCCTGCTCCTGCTGCTGCTCTTGACCTGTTGGAAGTCAAACGTCCCATGCACCAGCAGCGAAGGCAGCAGGATCCTCGGGAAACCCCAGCTCTTCCCGAGCACGTGCTTCTTCGTCAGCCCCACCCCCACCAGCCCCCCGCAAACTCCATGAGCCGTAATGGCCACCACCTGCCCAGCTGAGGGATCATTCCCAGCTCCTGTCCCAGCTCGTAACTCACAGCTCTGGAGTAGGCGGTGTACGCTCGAGCTGACAGGCTTGCCTGCCCCTCCTCCCCGCGCGACCCCATGGCGTATCCCATGTTCTCCACGGTAGAGAAACCCAGCGCACAGGAGACGGCGCAGACGAGGAAGACGAACTTGCTGCTGCTGTTCCTGCAGGCCTGAAGGAAGTTTTAGAGAACGATGAGAAAGGACGAGAGAGGAGAGAGAGGAGGGAGAGGAGAAGAGAAGAGAAGACGATCAGAAAAAGGTAGTATGAAGAGGAGCAAGGGGAGGAGGAGGAGGTAGGTAGGGAAAGAACGGGCAGAAGAGGAGCTGTATTTGCACAAGACCTGAAATCTCAGAGGAGTGAAATATTTGAGACTCTCTTCAGTCCCCGCAGCGATCACATACGCCATCAAAGCGATGAAGAGGTAGAACCCGGGTGACCTGGTATCAACATCAAATGGCTTCACCTGCTCCTTGCTACCTTGTCTTCTCCTTCTCCTGCCCTACCCTCCCTGCCTCCCTGCCTCCCTCCCTTCCTCTTGCCGACTTTCCCTCACCCTTCCTAACACAACTAGAGCACACGTCACCTCTTGATGACAATTCCGTACGCGCTCTCGATGTCCGTCAACGGGTCTGTGTCTCCTCCCCCTTGGGCTTGCAACACATGGTCCACCAAAGTCCGCGAGATCTGCTGAGGGCGATGGAGCCTGTGGAAGAGCTGTTGGGCGATTGTGAAGTGAACCTCCCTCGGTGCGTTGCTCCCATTCATGGTGGTGAGGGAGGACAGCGCAGAAAACCAGCCCTCTATCTGCTCGTTGAAGCAGACGAAGAAGAAGATACCCTGACGGAGAGGGTCAACCTTGCACTGATGTCGAAGTTCCTCCAAACATAATGGCAGGACAATACAGCATAGGAGAAGGAGAAACGACAACAACAAATCACCGCCAGAATGAGCTCCAGTATCATCACTACGGCTGCTCCCGGCAGGAAACCGAAGGCAAAAGTCTTGATGACAAGATCAAGAGGGATCTGAGTTGAGAAGTATCAGCCTCCCCCTCATCCTACTTTCTCCCGCCTCCTCACCCTACTCCTTCCCCTACTCCTTGTTCTTCTTCTTTCCTCTTCCTCCTACTCATTCCTACTTCTCCGTGTTCCTCTTCTCTAAACTCTGTTCTCCTTCTCCTCCTCCCCATTCCTCTTCCTCCTCCTCCTTCCTACTCATCCTCTTCTCTAAACTCTGTTCTCCTGCTCCTTCTGCTCTTTCCCTCGGCCTAGATGTTCGATGTCATACCTCGTCGCGCAGTTTCCTCCAGTAGATAACATACAAAATCTGTTCACCGATGTCAGGACACACCCCGGTACCACTTCCAGCTCCTCACCAGCACAGGAGGGACGAAAAACCCAGGGAGCAGGGCAGCGTCGTCAGGGTTGTGGTAGGTTATGTAGATGCTAGTTGCTAGCAGGAAGAGGAGGAAGGCCCAGCTGCAACAAGATCGAGCAAGTCAAGATTGAACCCAACCATGAAATCAGTGAAAGTGATCTTCTTGATTTCGACTTCTTGTCTTTTCTCTTAGCTAAGATTTCGATGCCGTTCTAGAATTTCCAGAGGTCTCTGGGGCAAACAGTGTTTCTCTTACCTTCTGAACTCCTCGACATGCTCGTACTGTATACTTGTCTCTACTCCTTCAAAAGGCTCTACTCCATCTTCATTCTCTTACATCTCACTTCTCCCTGTTTTCAATCTCCTTGTTGTATTTCCTCCTTGTCTTTGTTTTGCTCTCTCTCCTCCTCGTCTCCTCTGAATATCTCCCCTCTTAAACGCCCAACTACTCTTCTCTTCATTCCAAACTTTCCACTCAACCCTTCTCCTCGATTTGCCCTCTGACAATGCCGCTGTCATCTCCCCACTCTTCCCTTCCCCTCCCCACCCCCCCCCTATTCTCTTTTATCCCTTCTCCCCCCTCATCTCCCCCTTCTCCACTCTTCTCTTCGCTTGTCTTTTCGTCTCAACCAAGATTCTTCTCGTTCCCACCAGCCCCCCCACACCCCCCCACCTCTGCTCTGCTCCCCATAGTCTCCCCTCCTCTCCTCTCCTCTCCTCTCCTCTCCCTGATGTTCTCACCATAGTCTCCTCTCCTCAGCTCTCCTCTCCTCGTCTCACCTCCATGCCGACAGGCTGTGTCCTTCTCCTTCGGCGCCTTCCTCCGCCCAGCTCCTCCCTTCCACCATCCCGATAACAAACACCCACCCCTACCCCCTCATTTACACGTTCTCCAGTGGGTCCTGAAACTTTTAAAGTGAAGTTTACATCTCAGTTATTATTTCTCCATCCGTTACATTTCAGTTACATTTCCGTTGATAATCCATCAACCTGCAAAGGAAATGTTGGACAGGGAGGGCGGCTAGAGGACAGGAGCACAGGACAAGGCTGGAGGAAGAGGAGAGAAGAGAGGAGCAGAGGAGAAGGTGGTTCAAGACAAGATGATTGAAGGGAGAGGGGTTGATTGAAGGTAGCTGAAGTGTAATAGAGGGAGAGGAGCAACAATGAAGAGATTGTAGATCAACAAGCATGAAGGGAAGGGCGCATAGCACCACCCCCGAGCCTTCCAGAAACAGTGAAAGGCAGGATAACATGAGACTACGTCGAGGTACAATGCCGGATACAAGCAGGACAAAATTTCCACAGATTGCAAACAGCAAAGCAAACGATGCGAAGAAAGTTGAAGGAGAGAATGACGAGTACACGTTCCTCTCCCACCTTCCGATGATCTTGCTCAACATCGCAACTATCTCCATGGAGCAGTCCTCGGAGAAGCGCAAGGGCATTGCATCGCTGGATGACTTGAGGAAGGGCATGCAGTTCGAGCAACGAGCTTTGGATCTTGCTGAGGAAACGCTAGACGACAAGCTGATCATGAAGGTTCTTTTGCGCAATGTCAAGACAAAGATCCAGATGTGCATGCATGAAGAGCTGAGCAAGGAAGAGTCGTCCGAGATGGCGAAGGATGCAGCAAGGCACTTTTACCGGTGAAGTTTGTGAAGTTGCCTCCTCTCGTTTGATCGTCTCTCCAGCCTTGTGGAGCTCGGGAAGGTCAATGAGGATAGAGAAGTGTTCGAATCGTTGATGAGGCTGCTCGACGCCTTCCCTTCCTGGGCTGGTTGATATTTTTCTCTTCTCCGTCTTCAGATGACTCATCGGTTGCGTAGCCGCCTGGGTGTTGGACCGGATAGCGAACAGAAAGATTCAGGTGAAAAACTTGCTAGAAGTGAAACGAGAGATGATTGAATAGTTTCAGATTCAAAGATCTAGCAAAGTCGATGTCAAGGTAGACAAATCTTTGTAGTTTAAAGGGCAGAATGTCACAAAGGATTTGTTTGCAGAAATTGTTTGCACAGTTCGATGGAGAGAAAAAAGCGCTCTCGCCAATGAGAAGGAAAGAAGCAAAGAAAACATCTCCGGTGATTGGGATGATGATGATGATGATGATGATGATGATGATGATGATGATGATGATGATGATGATGATGATGATGATGATGATCAAGCTATGTCTTGTCGTTCGCTTCTCCTTCCTGTCATTGAATGTCTTTGGTCTAGGTTGCAGTTGTCCCCTGGGGATATCACGGAGACGCGAAAAAGCTGAAAGAAAAGTTTAGAAGGTCCAAGAACATCAGGTTTGACAAGTTTGCGCCTTTCACAAATTTGACATGGTCGGTACCAGCACCACATCCACCCTCAGCAGCCCCATCAGCAGCCCGGAAGATCTAGAGGAGAGAGATCAATGGGCTCGAGTGAACTCTGCGAGCATACAGGAAGGGGATGCTCTAGAGGTGCTTCCTCCGGCCAAGGGGGAGGTCTTTCGCAGAGGCGATGGGAGCAGGTTGGAGGAGGAAGGAGGAAGGAGCAGGGACCTGTCGCCTCCGAGCTCGAAGGTGGAGGGAGGGGGGAAGTTCAAGTCGCTGTCGGTCGACGTGTCGAGCAGGAGTAGGAGGGATGGGAAGGGGAAGAAGGCGAAGGCGTCCCCGCAACGAGCTCTGTCTCCTTCCGCCATCCTGCACAGCCAGCTGCTTGCCAAGATGAGCCCAGCTGAGAAGATCGCAGAGTCGGTTCGCTCGCAGGGGCTGCGGCAGCGGCATGGCTACACGCTTGCTCGGCATCCTCCTCTTTTCAGCGTGAGTGGCCTGGAGGCTCCTCCCTGGTGCCTGACGGGAAGTTCAGGACGAACCAGAGTCGTTCTCAGGTGGGGTAGCGGCTGGAGGGACCGCAGCACAGCTGGGGTTTGTGCACTACTGGAAGAAGCAGGTCGACTCGTCTCCAGCAGGTTCGAGGAGGAGGAGATGGGGGAGAGCAGGAGCAGGCGCAGGAGCAGGTGCAGTAGGAGTGGGGGGAACAGGAGTTGATTGTGGGAGGAGCAAGAGGAGCAGGAGCAGGAGCAGGAGCAGGAGCGGGGAGTGGTTATGGGAAGGAGTTGTCATTTGATTGCAGTCTCGTCTCCTGCTCTACGGACGGGAAATGTTTCTCGGTTTCTCAACTTCTCCCACCACGTTGGCGAAGACGAAGACCTGTCGCCTTTGGAGGAAGCAAAGGAGCCAAGATTCGCAAGAGTTCTTTCCCTCTCCGCTCCTACCAAGTGACGAAGCGTCGACTGGCATGCTGCTGCTGATGTTGATCGGCAGGCCACTGGGAAATGTTGTTCTTGCCGGACCTCTCTTCACCAACAACGTCAAGTCCTTCTCGTGCTTGCATGTGTTGATGTTGTGTTGCCAGGTGTTGTCAAGAGAGCAGATTGAACAATACCTGAGAGAGGAGATGAGGAACTTTTTCAGGAATGAGAGGTCTTGCTGGTTGCTTGTTGTTTGACAGATGTTCATGCAGTTTCAAGGAGAGGAAGTCCGTCTGTGAACGATGGATGCCCTTTCTTCATGTGTTAGAGAAGTAAGATGATGCTGGTGACGTGCGGAAAGTTGCAATCATGATGAAGTTGCGGACTAGGATATCACGATGTTTGCGTGAGAATGTCGTCACTGAAGATTACTTCTACGTGAGGGAGGTGCTTGTGGAGGAGGAAGGCGAGGACGATCGGGAAGAAAGGGAGAAAAGAAATGGGCTGAAGGAAAGGAGGAGGACGAGCACAAGGTAGATGATTGAGCTCGTCAGAAATGTAGAAAAGTTTATCTGTTCTATCAGGAGCTGTCGGAGCCTCTTGAACCCAAGGAGGTCATTTCTTGTCTTGTTTTCCTGCTCCTGTTCTGTGCTGTTCGTTTGGTTTACATTCTCTCTTCTATTCTCCCTCTCTTTCTCTCTCTCGCTCTCTGTCTCTCTGTCTCTCTGTCTCTCTGTCTCTGTCTCTGTCTCTGTCTCTGTCTCTCTTCGCTTTACCTTCTCTTTTCACCATCTTTCTCCTCTTTGTGTTCTTCATCTTTCGTTTATTGTACCTCTCTCTCATGGTTATGCAACTTCTGATTTTGTACTTAATTTCTGTTTCTCACTCGTCATTCTCTCTTTCGTTTGCATTCTCATCAGGTTTGGAAAGAGAGGTCACTGATGGACAACGAGATCTCAATCTCCCTGGAGGACAACATGTCGCGTCCCCTTCCTCCGCTTCCCTACGGTGAAGAAGATGAAGATGAATGGCCTGAGTTGCCTCCTCGAAACATCGGAGTTTCAGTCGACATGGTGAGAGGTCCCAAACAGTCTGATGTTGATGTCTCATGAGAAAATTTCAAAACTATGGAGACAACAACATTTGAACATTCACTTTTTTCCCTCATCCCATTCCACTCTGTTTCTGGTTCAAAACGCTGCAATGACGTTGATGCTTGTCAAAACCTCTTTCTCCGTCCTTGTAACTCACAGATGTCGCAATAGATCTTGGCGTTCTCAAAGTACGGCGGGGAGAAGCTTCAGTCTGAGATCCTTCAGCAGTCATTCGATGAAGTGCACATTCCTGCTTCGGTGACACGTTTCTGTCCACCATCACCCCAGCTGAACCTGAGCAACAGGAGAACGAGAAGCTGAGAATCGACCATGTCCCGGTCTGCAGACTTGCCGAGCTGATCAGCCTTGTGAGGTCAGACGATGATATTCACATCGACGTTCTCCTTCACGTTCTCCTCCTCCCCCCCCTTCCCCGCCCGTCGACTCCATCCTGCTCCTTGTCCTGCTTCCCATTCCCCTCCTCCTCCTCCTCCTCCTCCTGCTCTTGCTCCTGCTCCTGCTCCTCCCTCCCTCCCTCTCCTCCTCCTCCTGCTCCTTGTTTGTTTTGTTATTGCCGATGGTGGTGAGATCGTTGAAAAGAGATGTCGTCAGGCAACAGGTCAACTCTTGTTATGATCATGACATCATGGTCCAACAATGCTCTTCGCGCATTGAGGTATCAGGAGCTGCCGACAGCCATGGCTGATGTCCTGCTGGGCAGCTGCTCAAGGAGAAGCTTTCAGTGCTCAATTGCAACCAATCGGATCTCGAGCAGATCTGTGAAAGCATGAGGTAAGGAGGAGGAGGAGGGGAGGAGGAGGGGAGGGAGGAGAAGGGGGAGGGGGAGGGGGAGGGAGGAGGAGGAGGAGGAGGAGGAGGAGGAGGAGTGGAAGGGGGAGGAGGAGGACTGAAGAGAGAAATACGAATGAGAGGGGGAGGAGGAGGCGGCGGTGGAGCCGAGAAACTGAATGCGGGTGCTCAGGAACGCGATGAAGGAGGAGAAAAGGAGATCAGCCATTGTCTCCTCGTCAGTGAACATCAGCTACTATCTCCGACATGGCGGGCTGAGTCTGGGCGGCTTCACTCCTCGAATGACCAAGGAAGGGAACGAGAGGCTGGTGAGTAGAGGGAGGGGGAGGAGGGGGACAGGGGAAGAGAGAGGAAGGGAGGGAGGGACGAAGGGGGAATGGTGAAGAGAGAAGAAGGGAGGCAGGGCAGGGGAGGGCAGGGCAGCTAGGAGAAGGGAGGGAGATGAAGGAGGGAGGGGAGGGGAGGTTGGGGAGGTGGGAGGAGAGGGAGGGGAGGAGAGGGAGTTGGTTTGATCATTTGCGGTGCAGATCAAGGCATTGAGTCCTCCCCTCGTTCGATCCTCTCTTGCTCTATAGAATCAAATGTATGTATGTAATGCCTTCCCGTTCCTCCCCCTCCTGCTCCCTGCTCCTCCTCTCGCTCCTGTCCCTGTTCCCGCTCCCTTCCCCAATCCTGCTCTTCGTTATCCTCCTCTTGCTCCCGCTCCAACTGCTGCTGCTCTCACAGTCTCTGTTTTCCACTCATCCTCAGGGCTCTTTCTCCTTGGGAGGCCTGACAACTCCTTAGTTCCTCTTCGTCTCTCCTCCTCTCCCTGTCACCTTCCTCGCCGTTTTGCTGCTGGTTTCGGCGCAGGAGGGAGGCCTGAAAACGTCTCAACAAGCGAGGAGAGGGGACGAGAATTTTTCACCTCCTTCCTGCTTCTCACCCTCCTGGTCTTCCTGTTGGTCCTCTTTCTCCGGCTTGCTCGACGTCGCAGCCGCCGAGTCGACCTTGCGAGGGCGACCTCTCCTCTTCTTGGTTTCGGTGCCAGTCTCCACCTTCGCTTCTGTTTCTGATGTCTCTCCGCTTTCTTCGAAGCTCGATTCTCTTTCCGCATCCTTTCTTGCCTCCTCCTCCTCCTTCACCACCTTGGTCCGTCTCCTTGCAGCCGGAGCTACGACCTCCTCCTGTTCCTCCTTCACCTTCCGCTGCCTCTCGTCCCATCCAGCCCTAAACTCTGTGCTCGATCCCCCTTCCATTTCTTCGTCCCTCCCCTCAGGCCTTCGCACTTTCCTCACCTGCCACTTCTGATTGGCGGGCAAACGCTCCCGCCTTTCGCCTCCTCCTCCTCCTCCTCCTCCTCCTCCTTCCCTTCCTTCCCAATCTCTCACACCTGCCCCTTCTCTATCTGTCCTTCCTCTTGCTCCTGCTCCTCTCCCTCCTCCTCTTGGGTCTTCTCCCGCTCCTTCTCGCCACTGGCCCGTCGGTCTTCCTGTGAATTCTCCTCTCCCCCCCGCGGCTGCGCTCCTGCCTCTCCTCGTGACCTCCTGCCCGTCTTGTCGGCCGACTGCGCGATGTCAGGAAGAGCCTCTTGGAGAAGAGCCTGCAGAGGAGATCAGCATTGGCTCTGACAGGAAGAGAAGGAGATGAGGAGACAGGGGGGGAGAGACTAGACGGAAGGAGAGGAAGAGTAGAGCAGAAGTGGCTGAGATGAATTGGGCTGAGAACTGCATCTCAACGGAGAGGAGAGGAGAGGAGAGGAGAGGAGAGGAGAGGAGAGAGAGGAGAGGAGAGGAGAGGAGAGGAGAGGAGAGGAGAGGAGAGGAGAGGAGAGGAGGAGACGAGCGGTGGAGAGAAAGGCAAGACCTCCTGCTGCTGCATTTTGTCAAGGATAGCCTTGCTCTGAGAGCTAGCTCGCTCCATCAATGCTCGACGGGGACGGCGCCGACCGAATGGATCGACGATGCCGCGCGTGATGTCGGACTGGGAAGTGGAGCCGGAGTAGGAATCCTGTACTCATTCATGAGAAACGAAAAACAGAGCAGGGAAAACAGAAGACAAAGGGAAACGATGAAGAAGTACAGCAGCAGACTTCAACAAGAAGTAGCACGAGAAGGTATGAATTCAACAAGAGATAGGAGCAGAACGGAATGGAGAAGGCGTTGTAAGAGCAGGAGCAGTTTGCACCTCAAACATGTCGTTGTCTTCAACATTCTGCAAGTTCTCAATCAATCAAGATCATGGCGTGAGATTAACATGATATACCTTGACGCTTTCTGTCCGAGGTTGCTTTTCTTTTTGTACATTGTTCTTCCTGCAGTACCAGCAAATATGAAAGAATGTCACGTCCTCGTCGTGTCATGTTCATTTTCATCATCATCAAAACCCATTCTCCATCATCCTCATCGTCTCCATGAAACGAAAGCACCAACCTTGCTGGATCTGCTATCAAGTAGGTGGACCCATCCGGCAACACCTGAAAACAAATGGTTATTGATAAGCAATGAATCGAAGAGCAAGAAAGCAGAAAAATTATCACAAGCGTGTCAATCCAAGAATAGAGAATGAGACCAAACGGTATTGACACTTGAACATGACAGGAACAAGCAAACGCAGAGAACAATAAAAAAAACTCTTTTTCCTTCTTCTGTCCCTCTGGCATAATCACGATCGCCATCATCATCATCATCGTCGTCGTCGTCATCACCATCGTCATCATCGTATTCGCATAATATTATCATCGTAACATGTATCATTCTCATGGTATGATCTTTTCTCGAAATCTACACCTGAACAGGGTCCGCATTGAAGTCGTTGTCCCAGTCAATAGACCGATTTGAGCCTGGCTTGTCGGTTAGAAAAGAACTTCGAAAAAAATGCAGAACATTGTCCAGACAAAACCATAAAGTTAGACATGTTTGAAGTCCCAAAAGATGATTGATGGTAATTCATAGATAGGATCGATGATGAAATCAACAACTTCAACAGTTAAGATCTTTCTTGCGAACTGACATGAATCATGATAGATGCAAATGAAAGAAAAAATGTTGATGATGTATATGACACCATATGATCAATTCTGGATCAACGAGAACAGATGCTTTTACCTTTTGGTCGAATGGGCTCGACTATATGACCGAAAATGACCTTGAAAACGATTCCGTCAGAGCAGAATATCAGCAGGACAACTGTTATTATCATCATTATCATCATCATCTCTCATTGATCTTTGTCATCATGGCAAGGGTGGGTGCTGAACTCGAGAAAAGAAAGCACCTTCTTCTGTATGGGATCAAAATAATCAACTCTCAGGTTGTAATGCGTCCAATCCTGTCACAACATCAGGCAAGAGAACACTTCGTTTGACAACAAACAGATTCATGGTCGTCATCGAAGATTTCAACGGGATGCCAATCGTCGGCTGCAAACTTCCTTCAGCAGGGAGGTCTGATCATTCCGATAACAACAACCAGTTACGTTGTACTTCGGGTCCTTGCACCTGAAAAATACAAATTAAGACAGACAGGCAGGAAGGTTTTCCATCCAGGATGGAAAAGCATGCAAGAGTTTTTGATAGTGCAATAGAAGATCTGTGTCAGAACAAAGTTCGCCTCACCGCTCGAACAAGTCAGAGCCAACAACGTCCCTTGCGAACCTGAAGCAAACGAGATGGAATCATTACAATACCCTGTCACTCCAACTTCCTTCCTCCCCATCTCCACCTCTCCCCCCCTCGTCCTCCCTGCTTCTTTCTCTAATTTAGGATTCATTCAGCCTCTTTGTCTTGATCCCACCCTATTCTTGCTCTTCCTCGTAATTTCCTCCGACCCAAACTTTCTCCATTACCTGTATGTCATTTTCTCCTTCGAGATTGCATTCTTCTGCTCCTCGTATGTCGGATTGTACCTCAAGGCCTCCACGCATACAGTCAGCCTCCTCCACACGCTCTCCCCCCCCCTCCTCCCCACTTTTCCCCTTCCCCACTCCCACCCCTCCCACCCCTCCTGCTCCTCCTGCTCTCCTCCTGTTGAAAAACCAACTCCGACTTCCTCTTCCACTTCCCCCCAGCCAAGCACTCTCACTCTAGGGTCGAGCCTGACAGCTTGAGGAGGGATTCGTTTCCTCTGAGCCAGGTGCACCTGTCGATGGCTGAGCGTGAAAAGACAAAGATACAACTCAGGCACCTGTATCCTCCGACCTCCGACGTCCCTATCATTCATTGCAAGGATTGCTGTCCGCGCATCTTCCGCATTTCTGAAGGCGAGCAATGGTGGTCAAGAGCGTTCTCGAAGCATTTCCTCTGATTCACCTGAACACAACGTGCCCGTACCCTCTAGAACGATCGTTCTTGTCATCGTATGAAACCTTCACGAGGGAAGAAAAACGTCAAAGACGGAATTCAGCAGCAACGAACGAAACATGATCACCTGAGCGTTGAATATGGGGCCGAATTTTTCGAACAGCTTTTGCAGCCCGTAGCTGTCAACAACCCAAGGAAGATTTCCAACAAACAGCACTTTGTCGTCATCCGGTTCTTGTTCCGACCCAGACATGTATAACCGAACTGATTTTTGCCTTGTGCTGGCCAGCAAAAACTTGTTTGCTGGATTCAACATTGGCGACACAAAAGATTGGAGGAGGAGAGAAGAGGAGAACGAGTTCTGCTTGTTGGGATGGCGCAAACAGATGCTGTTGACGTCAACCCACCCGGTCGTGAAAGAAGCAGCGAAGTTGAGAGTGAAAGCAATCAGTACCCAAGATCGAATCATCTTGTCGCTCCTTCGAAGCAAAACAGAGCCTCAAGGCGGCTTATGATTGTCCTGATAGAAACGTCATTCAGGATTCAGTACAGCAAGCAACCGAGCAAGCTTCATTGTTTGAGCTTGTCTTCTGTAAGCGTTTACTTCCCTCACACAAAATGATCCTACGCTTCGACTATAGATCTTTCATTCAATTTTCTTCCCGTCTTTCCCACCCATTATACTCAATATACACCACGAGCTTCCATCCATACGTTTGCTTCTGATCACGACACTTTCCTGATCCTGATCCTGCACTTGCCCCTGCACTTGCCCCTGCATCTGGCCTACTAATCCTCCTCCTGCCCCTTTGGATTTCTCTCTACCCCCTCTCCTTCTTTCCTTCCCTTCTCTGCCCTCGTTCAACCTCCCTTCCTCCTCCTCCTCCTCCTCCTCCTCTTCCTCTCCCTCCACCTCCCCCTCGCTCCGACATGCGGCTATACGACATGGGCTCGGCCCAAGCCGGCCACCCAGCCACCAAATACCACCTACCCCAGCACTTCAATGCAGGTTGACCAGTGAATATGGGGTAGGGGAGGAGGGATCCTTGGAGCGAGGGGTGGGGTCCATGGTCGAGAGGCAGGGAGCTTAAAGGTAGGGTGAAGCAGTGGGAAAAGACCGGTAGTGATCCGGATCGGGGGTGCGATTATGGAATCGGGGAGAGGGATGGCGATGGCGGTTAAGGGAGGAGGAGGAGGAGGAGGAGGAGGAGGAGGAGGAGGAGGAGGAGGAGGAGGAGGAATTGTGGTCAGTTCAGCGTTTTCAACGCTAGATGGACACTTGAATCCGATAATGGGCAGCCAGAGGAGCAGAAGACCCATGGACATGAGCAGAAGTTTGAAAATGCGCAAAGACAAGGCGAGCTCGGAGTTTGAGATGCACAAACGGATATACTGGCAGGCGAGCTACGCCAACTTGATTGTCGACAAGGAAAGGGGGAAAGAGAAGAAGGTTCCCTTGAAAGGTAGAGAGGATGTGATTTGAGGCCTTAGTGATTGTTGTTGTTCAGTGCTGAACATGAAGTTCATGGTGAGGGAGTCCACAAAAGGTGAGGAGAGCCATGCAGGCATGGCCTATCTGACATGGAGATCAGAGAAGTACAGCATCATGAAGCTCGCCTTCATCTACCTCATAATCTCGACCTTCTTCCCGGCACTCCATGTTGTCATGTTCACAATTGTCATGTTGCAGCGAGTGACGGTATCTTCGCCCATGGCCGAGCAGTTCTGACAGTTTTTCGCAGTTTTACGCCACTTTGAGTCCAGAAGAGCAGGAACAAGAGCAAGGGTCCAAGTTTGGCTTCCTGCGCTCCTTTGCTGCCCTGGTTGCCACCATCACCGTCGTCTCATTTCTTCGTCTCCCCCGAGGACCATGATGGAGTTGGCAGAGGGGAGGGGACGATGTTGAACCGGGGAAGTGGGAGCAAGGGAGAGACGAGGGGAGCGAGAAACAGAGCAGGGAAGTAGTAACGAGGAAGAAGGAGAATGGTGAGATGTGGGGATAGATACGAAGTGGTCGGAATATTCTTGTATATGATTGTGGTTCTATGTGAATAAGTTCATGTACTATGATCTTCTCTCTCAGGCTTCCATCGATATCCATTGCTCGAGCTCGAACTTGGCCCCGAGCTCACTCATGTTCTTGTGCTGTTGCTGTGCACGCCGTCAGGTCGTATGGTAGGGATACGACAAGTGCAGGGGAACTGAGTATGCTGCCAAATCCTCCCAACTGTTTGCAAACCTTTCGAGCGAACATCTACGAAGCTTTCTTGACAGCAGTAGCCGTCGACTTCATTGGACTCTGTTAAGAAGTTTTTGACTGCAAGGCTTGCTCCGTCTCACGACTGGGCTCATTCTTCACCTCGCCCTGGTCACTTTTGGTACTGCTCGTCACTTCCTCCTTCATCAAACCAGCAGGCGCATGCCCACCCTCAGCTGCTACCGATGGCACAGGGCTGGAAGAGGCGCCCTTCTTGGGTTTCATTGGTCGAGGAGGAGAGGAGATGGGGAAGGAATTCAGAGCGACTTCGCCATTCAGAACTTTTGAAAGTTCGAGCACGAGAGCACCGAGATCTGAGACGACCAGCACTTCTGACCCTTCGCTGTCCTCCTTCTCCACCGAGACGGGTATCCAATGGTTCGCTACCAGCTGCAGCACGCCCGGCTGCGAGCTGGCGACGGCAAACTTGATCTGATTGTCTCCGCTATCCGCCCTAACCCACTTCCTGCCTTTGCAGGTCCCATCGTCATAAACCCCCGTCGTGATCTCACACACGTGACAGGCCTCGGCTGTGCACTCCCTCGCGTTCTCTGAGCACAAGGCAAACCAACTCTTCGTGGGTGGATGCTTGTAGAGAGTGCCCAGCAGCCTCTGGCCGGGCGCTGCCTTGGCCGGAAACGCCTCGGGTATCAGCTCTCCTGCCAGGATCCCGTAGGCTTCATCGACGCTCTCCTTCTCCTCCAAGACTCTTACGCACTTCTGCTCCTCCCCCTCCACTGTCACAGGACTCGGTCGAGCTGCTGTTTCCCCTGCATATTCGACAGACTCAACCTGTACGGGGATCCAACCCAACCATGGGAGGGTGAAGAGCTTTGGGTACAGAGACGCAGGGAGGTAGCGCGATGGCCCGCTGTCCTGCCCTGATCCCAAGTCCTTGAGCCACTCTATCGCCTTGCACGTGCCGTCGGTGTAGACGCCACTGTGAACTTGAAAGATTCGGAACCCTCGCAGCTCTCTGTCGTCGTCATCCACTACCATGGCAAACCAGGGAGTCACTGCCGGGTGTTTTGAGTCCCGGGGCTCGCGCTTCTTGGCAGAGCTCTGCTTCTTCTTCTGTTTCTCGTTCTCGCTCCTGGCCTTGTCTTCCCACTCGTGCTTCTCCTCGGGCGTCTGAGGGATCGTCAGTCTGACATGAAAGCACCTTGCTGGGATGTCTTACAATCTTTTTCCATCGTTCGCCCATTCTCTGCATGACCTCTTTCATGGGCATCTTAGGATTCTCCTGCACAGCAGTAAAACAACCGTCACACGAGTCCACACCAAACTCGCATCGAGCACCCAGACTCTCACCTTTCGAATCTCCTCACGAGCTTGATGGCTCCACAACCAGTACGCTGAGATCGATTTCTTCGTCCCCGCATCATCATCATCGCCCGCACAATCTCGTTTCTTCTCTTGAGCATCCGCGCTGACCTGAAACTTGGGCCTTATGCCATGGGCAGCGCAGTACTTCTTGTAAGCTGCGACATCTCGATTCCACTGATCCATCAGCTGAGAGTATTTCTTCTTGTAAACTCCCTTCTCAATCTCCTTCATCGATTTCCAATGCTCAGACGCGACGCTCATCAGCTCCGCATGTTTCAATCCTGGGTGACGTTGCTTCATGGTGTTGGAAGGATCCAGAAACCACAGCAAGAAAGCGTTCATCGGCTTCTTGGGGCACTCGGTGACTTCACGTTCTTCATCTTGATTGCTTGCAACCATGGAGATACTCCCAACGTTGGCCTGATTGACACGAGGATTCAGTTGAAAATCCAAGTCTCTCTTCCTCCTCCGCTCTTCAGCGTCCTCCCCAACATCAGCCCAGCGGTCGGTCTCGTAGGATAAGATCCCATCTTCAACCTCAAACTCCTCCAGGTCTTCTTCTCCCACCGCCGCAGAATCGAATTTCACATGCCACAGTGCCGCTGGAACGTTGAAGTACTCGCTGACAAAATCAGAGACTTCCACAGGCAACCATCCTACGATAGTTCCGTCAGCTGCCGAGATTACTTGCTTCTCTCCAGCGTCATCGTACAGTGCTCTCCTGACTCGCTTGCCAAGGAATTCACTTCCTTGGGTCCACCACTCGCCGTCTCCTTGTTCTCCCTGCTTGCCCGGCTCAGCCCCCGCGCGATTTGCTACAAGGTTTGCTTCTTGTGCCAGCGCAGAACTCGTAACAGCAACGACGTGGGGAACAACTTGTGAAGAGACCGAGCTTTGGCCATCGTATGCTTGGTGGGTCTGGTTGCTGTCTGGAGGAAGCTGGTGAGGCTTCAGCGGTGTGGGCAAGGGCTGAGCCTGTGGAACAAACGGAGGATTGTTGAGATGAGGTGACTGAGGTATTATCACGTCCGGCGTCATAGCGTTGTGATGCATCGAGCTCAATTGGGTAGGAGCTTTCTTGTGCCTCGCCATTGAAGCGTCCACCTCTGCTTTTCTCTTCCTGCCTCGTTGCGGCCGAGATGGTGCAGCGGAAACCGAATGATAGGAAGGCTGCAAAGTGCTCCTTGCATGCACTTGACCCTGTTGATATGACAACACATGTGCCTGCGTGCTCCTTTGGCCGGCATATTGATTCTGCATCGAGTAGTATGCTGGCATATTTGAGGGAGCAGCTCCACCAGGATACATGCCATACGTGTCTCCACTGAGAGGTTGTGAAGGCAAGACGTCGTGAGGCTGATGGTACATCGGCTGCTCTGATGTCCACGAGGGAGGCAGGTCGGTGCTCCTTGACTGAACTGGATGCAAAGATCTCGAATCGAATTCAGATGGCACGTAGCTTCTATCTATGCGATTCATCGCATCCCTTGAGGCCACAGTACGGGGGTAGTTCGCCGGTGCATTCAGGTAGGAGGCAGGGGATGGCATCGTAGCGTTAGAAGTCCAGGCATCGGACATATTTACAGGGTATGCCTGCGGAGTAGCAAAGTTGCCAAGAGGCATGTTGGGCATGTTGGAGTACTGCTCATAGGGAGCATTAACCGCTGAAACGGGTTCTGACAAGTCCTGAGGAATCGTAGGTGGCTGCAGATTGCTCGGATACGAATCCATGTCAGGAACTTGCTGATCAGTCCAGGCTGAATCCGGCAGGAGCCTCGGGGCATTCGGATCGTTGTATGTCACTTCACATGCTGGATAATAACTTGACTGTGAAATCGCTGGGTTCAGCGAGGCTTGAGAAGGCATCCCCATCGCATTGTCTGCCTGAGCCGTCCAATTACCTGTGAGGCTGACAGGGTAATGAGAGTTCTCATCAATAGGATCATTGGTCACATAACTATGTTGAGATGCAAGGTTGCTGTGGATAGGAACATTGTACTCGTTCCTCTCCTGAAGAGCTGCCCGATTGTACGGAAGAGGGACTGTCTCAACGTAACTTTGCTGCGGTATGAACCCGGAATCTCCGCTCATGTCTGCATAAGTGTATGTCACGCCTTCACCCGCTGTAGAGTAGTTGATGCAATGGTCTACTGGCACATTGGGACAGAAATTTTCATCGAAGAGCATGTCCCATCTCCTTCCAAAAGAATATGTCGGCTTTGAAGCAATGAAGCTTTCGGCTCAGATGTCCGTGTTCTGCGCAAACTGACGATTAGAGTGCGTTTGATCGGTTTGACATGAAGTTCAATACTCTCCATATTCTTGCTGTTTTCCTTGAACTACCTTTCTCTTTCTCTTTCCGCCATGGCCCTCCTCTCCCTCCCAGCTATACTAAACTCTAACCTACTCAACCTCATTTCACTCCCTCCTCAAATCCTCGATGTTTCTCCCTCGCCCTCCCTTCTCACCACCAACACAACAAATCCTGTTCCCGCTCCCACTCCTGCTCCTGTTCCCACTCCTGATCCGCCTGCTCCTCCTGCTCCCCTTGTCATCGTCCCAGCCATGCTTCACCCGCCAAAACAGTTTGAAATCAAAACATGGAGCTGTGGAGCTGTGGAGCCCTATAGTCAACCGAAATGGGTTTGTAGTCAATAATCACTCAAGTAGCCTTGTGTCATCAGTGTGTCGGACCAACGTGACGCGGCCGCCATGGTCTGACCACCACAGAGTCTGCGTACACCGTAGACGGTCGGCCGTGACGACATTCAAGGTGCACCAAGACCAGAATGACAGTAGGGCACGGTACGAGTTCAACCGCCCTGGTTGCGAGCCTCGGAGTGTGCTTTAATGTAGATTGTAACTCATTCTCAGCCGAGTCATGAGAGTGGAAAACTGAAGTTTTAAATGTTGTACGCGCTCAGAACATCACAAGTGATGATCCATGGCCTTGCATCCCACGCTGAAATCGAAGAATGAGCATGACGAACAGACATGGATCACTGTGACTACTCAGTACCTGCTGCAGTGAATCGTCGGTAGCTGCGCTCTCGCGCGTGACGCCATAGATCTCCAGAGGAGGAGGACTTGGTCCCTGCAAGACCGATGAGGCAGAAGGAAGTAAGGCAACGAGACCTCACCGTTATCTCGTTGGTGGCAAAAGTCTGCAAAGGAGCGAGCGAGGGCTGCATGCAGAGATAGCCCGCTCCCTTCAAGCCGTGGCGAGACGGGAACTTCAGCTTCCTGCTCACCAAGATCAAGGGACATAGGAAGCAGACTCAGAGTTGACCCTCACCCCTTCTCCTCCACCACGCTGTTGCCCTTGGCAAGGGGTGGGGTAGGAGAGAAGATCCATTGCAACCTTCGCGCTGTCTCCTCCTTGTTCATGTCGCCCTGCAAGAAGCAGTCAACACACGAGAGAGACGCCTGCAGCTCCTCCTCGCCTTGATCCCAAAATCTGAAAGCGTAGGCGTGGATGTAGCTGGCTTTGACTGCACCGCCAATGTCACCAAGAGCCGTTGATCGAGAAGTACAGAATACCTGACTGCTAGATGCGGTAACTTGAGACTTGCCGTCCTGAGGAGGAAGAGGAGGCAAGAGAGAAGGATCCGTGTCCTGTAGGAAGAGATCGCGAAGGTACGTGGGGAAGTATCCAGGAACCTCCTTCTTGCTAACATATTCTTGCATCATGGAAGCATCCGCATCTACATTGTTGTTGAAATTCATGCGAAAGATGCTCCTACACATGTCTATCCCCATCATCTCCAGCCCGAAGAACAGATCCACCTCGTAGCTGCCATTCTGCCGCATCACCGTCCAGTTGCTGTTCTCGGGGTGCGGGTAGAGATGGATCCTCTCCTCATAGATCACGCTGGATCTTCCAGTCTCGTTGACGGCGACGATCTCCAGGTCTCTTTCCTTCCACCTGAACTTCATCGTCTCCACCATGATGAACTTGTCTGCAGGGTTCACCGTTCCCTGGAGGAGGAGGGGCACAACCTCGGAGTAGTTGTAGACAACCTTCCTCTCAACGACCGCCAGCCCTTCCTCAACAACGATCCTCTTAGCTGTGACCCTCACATCTTCTCTTTGAGGGAATCTTGAAGCCCGAGCATGCCGCCTCCACACTGCCTCTACCGTCTCCTCCCATGGCCTCGCATGCTTGTGCTCATCTTCATCCGACGCCGTCGCTCTCCCCATTCCTGCCCCTCCGAACGCCACTGCAAGGTATCCGTGAGTATCCGTGAGACATGGATTGTACGTATCCATGAGTATCCGAACGTTTAGTGGGGTACTTTTGAAATTTTCCCAATATATTTGAATTTTAAGACCAAATGTTATCTGTATAGTTCGATTCCTGTGGACGCTCCCACTCAAAAGCACCCCCTCCTCGAACTAAAATCCCTACAGTACCGGTATCGTTTAAACTAAAGGTACCCACCCTTCCATTGTTTTGAAATTTCAATACCACCCCTACCCCCCTGACAGAATCGATCCTTTCCCCGCCTCGATGACCATGGTGAAGTTGCATGCTAGAAGCGCTTGCGAAGATGATCAGTACCCCACCGATGCATCCATGCACATCCAGTTCTACATCATCTTCATCCTCTATCTTGATCCCAACTTTTATGCTCCTCCCCTTACTCCCTCACACGTGCTCTTCGTTCATCTCCCCCTCTCCATGCGTTTGAGCTGCGAATTTTCTCCTTCTCCCTCATAATGTCCTCTACCATCTCATCCAATGCAACAGACACGTCATTTCTCTGCTTTATATCTGTAGAATGAATCCAACATTCCCTTGCCGCCATACTCTGAAACCTCATTCAATCATCCATCCATTCCCCTCCCATTCAAAAGCTCTATTCTGAATGTTTTGGAGGTTCCATAATGTGTGTACCCGGTCTTCAGCTTGACCATTTTTTTGAGTGAAGAACGAACTCGATATTTGCTGATGTTTTACCCGGACAGCTTTAGCCTCATGCTCGATATTCTTGAAACAACTCAACGTGTCTCTCCCCTTCTGTTCACGGCTGCCCTTTAAATTTTAGGACCAGTGATCCTGTTATGAAAGATTTTTCAGTTTGATCCTCCCTTGTCCTTTCTGCATTTTCTTGAGGATGTGTGTCAAATTATCTGTTTCCCAGTCAATGTCAACATGTCACCAGCTCACTCCTTCAGTACAGCCACCTGAATCAGTTGCATGCCGAACAGTTTTTGATCCCCATCAAGTTGACGTGTCTGCAGGGGAGAAGGTCATGGGCACAAGATGTGCAGAATGACATGAGAGAAAGTTCAAGGACTTGTGTTGCTCCTTCACTTCCGATACGAGCTTGCAAGCTCGTGACAGTCGCTTGCTTCTTCCTTGTATGCTTCCCCGCGCGAGTAGAGGTATGTCGCTTGCTCTAAGATCCTTGAAGATTCAGATTGAAACATCCTGCACTGCATATTTGTGGAAATTTACTCAAAACTCATGGTTTGGCAGTTGCTTGTTCTCAAGCAAAGCAACGTGTATAAGCCCTCACTGACGATTTCGCAATTCGAAAGCAAGGTTAGTGTGACGTCTTCCATGGAGTAGCTGGTATATCAACCTGACGTTGATGTTTGCAAGTGCACGGCAGGATCTCTTGTCAAACGCGATGGTGTAGACCAGCTGCAAAGATTACGTGGCGGTGGATCTTCGGCAATCTGTTTCATGCTCTCTTGACGGAAATTGCTAGGAAACGGGGCAAAGCCAGACACAAAACACGCGATCATTGTGGGGAGTGTATGCGCCTTGATCTTGATTCTGAACGAGTTCAACGTGGTGAGTCTGAGAAGAGGATGTAAAGTAGAAAATCAGTTGGAGAGAGATACATGAACTCATTGCGAGATTAGAGCTCGAATTGTTTCATAGTTTCTGAATCCAGTCTTTTCGCTTGATTCGTCGTCGTCAACGTGCGCCAGCTCTCTGCTATCGTTCGAGTCTCGCTCACTTTGCTCCTCTCCCTGACGTTCCTGCTGGTCAAACTCGACTGTGGCGGTTCACATCCGATCCGACTGACCCTTTGGCAGGCGGGTATCAACAAGACAAACCCGACATTTCACAAGCCCACGCATCTGTTCTTGGCAAACATGTGTGTTGATTTTATCGTGTCTTATTCCTTTGTTGAAATTGCCTGTCAAGGTTTCCGGACATCTGCAACAAAGTCTGGAAGCCGATATGTGAGAGATGCGAGACGTGCCCTGTCTTGTCGTTCTAAATGTCCTCGTGACTTCTAGTTGAGAAAGCCTTGACATCAACATGTCGCTTCTGCTGTAAATATTTTTCATTTCTCAAGAACACTTGTGGGCAACGCGACGATGGATCGTTCACGTATCCTCCTGCTCAAGGGAGCTGGGAAGCTAACGGGTTTGCCAGGTTGCCCAAGTCCATCTCTGCCATGGTTACCCCAGCCTCCTTCATGCACTCCAGTACGACCGCGGAAGCTGCTGACAAGTCTCTCAACGTGTCGCAGTTGGTCAAGTGGAGGTTTCCTGCGCCATGCTGATGCTCATCTCGCTTGCGGGCACGGGGTCGAGGGGGCATCGCGTCCCTCTCGCTGAGCTCAGTGAGTTATGAGCTCGTGGGCTGCTGGGACTGACAAGGTGGCAGGCAACGTCGTGCTCTTCTTCTTGATGGTCGGCGCTACTTACAGTCACCTCGTGAGGAGGCCCTGGCATGTCGCGCTTGTCTCACCCTCCTCCTCCCCAGGTGCTCATGGACGGACGGTGGATTCCCTCGGCAGTGTTGGGTATGCGAGGAAGCTTCTCGTGTGAGCGCTTGTGATCGCATTGCAGGTCTCCTGCTCTTTGTGAGATTCATCACTCCCGCACCCTCGAGGAAGGGGAAGGTGCGTCGTTGTGCGCATTCAGGAGAGATCATGACGATGTTGATGTCAGTCGGGCAAGGGAAAGAAGCAGGACAAGTGAGTGAAACAGTTGCTCCAACCTAAAGGTCACCAGATACAACATGAGATAATCTACAACGAGATGAGAACCCTGGCCTTTGGATTGAGGGTCACCCGAGGCCCGCGCGGCGTGTAAGCTCTAGGAGACAGGAGCGTGCTCGAGCTGCTGCTGCGTGTCTGCATTGAGTTGCTCGTCTCCTGAACATCTCTTCAAACATGTTAATAAACAAAATGTTTCATCTCACCTCGTTGAAGTCGCTCAAGTGCCTGGCTGCAGACTCCCTGTCTACATCAGCAGCCCAGGCCCCGGGCAAGACGTCCCCGTCAGAAGTCACGGGCCACGAGCCGTCAGAGACCGGGGGGTCCAACAGGCCCATCAGGAGCTTCTTGGAGTTGGAGAAGGCGGTGAAAGAAGAGTCTTCGTGGATAATTCGCTGCGGAGGGACCGGAAGGATTTTCGCCTCTGCCACGTCTGCCACTTCATGTTACAAGGTCGGCTCAGGATTTTCTCTTGCTCACTCTGGTATAACCCGTTGCTCGTCGTTGCCGTCAGCCAGTTTTGAGCCTTGTCGAATCTCATCTTGTACGCTTGCAGCTCGTCCTCAAGATCCTCAATGCGGCGCAAGTAGAGCTCGCGCTGCTTCTCATGCATGTGAACACTCTCCTCCAGCTCCATCAGGCGTTTGTCTGCTGCTTGCGAAAATTTCCAAAAAGACTTGGAAGGCGAGACAGTAGCAAACACAGGGAGCAGATGCCTGGGAGTGGAATGAGTCACGGGAGCTTCGTTCTGCAGGAAAGTTAATAGATGCAGTCATGTCGTCGTCGTGACCTCGTCGACTTCTATCGAATGGATGGTCTCCGTGAAGTGATCAGTGTCATCGAAGCAACTCTCAACCTGCTCATGATCAGGCAGCGACCGGCCTAGTGACCTTCTTGCACCTGCACACCCACGTGCTTCTGCCCGACGGACATTCTGGGACGACGATGAGCCAGCATGTCAGCTGCCAACTAAATCAGCTTGTCTGGTCTTGGAATAACCAGCTCCAACCTGGAGCAGGAGCCATGGCAGAGCGAGAGTCACTCTTGGTCAGAGCTGGCAACTGCGACTTCTCTCCCTGTTGCTCATGTTGAGGTTTGAATTCTGAAGTTTGTTGTTCTCCATTACGCACAGTCTTCAACAATCTGATCGCTACATGAGACGAGGAGAGAGAGCAAGGCCCGGCTGTCATGATACACCTGAAAATCTCGTCCAAGATCTCGATAGGCGCGGCGTCTGCACCGCAGTAAAGAATCTTCTGCAAGCGGTGAAGTCGGTCAAAGACAACCTGCAAGAACCGTCAGTCCAATGTAACTCCCCGACTCTTCTCACCTCGAGCGCGCGATGCCGTTGGTTCTCGTCGTCATTCGTTGCAGCATGGCTGCTGGGCACTTGTAACGCCGGGGAGTGCTCGCCCAACACAGGAGCAGAGTGAGCGTTGGGCTTGTCATCATCCATCAGAGCCATTCGTCAGAATGCCTTATGAAGCTCTTACGAGCATCCAGAATGATCTCACTCTTGCTCCGTTCGTTCGCTGGCAAGCAACGTTAGCAGGCAAGATGGATGTGCTTGCTTGCAAGAAAGGCAAACGAGTCCGACTAGTCAGATCTCTTCAAAAGTGTAAGTAGGAATCGATGAAAAACATGCGTTGGGACTGTCGAGAGCGATGGTGCAGCTTTGAAGGAAATCCAAAACAGAAATAGGAGAGGTATTAGAGAATATTCTAGTGTGCATGCGAGGACAAAATTGTACTGTACATGAGAGGAAGCAACCTGACAAGTTTGGGAAGGGGGAAGGGATGAGAGGTATGGTGTATAGCGGAGAAGAAAAGAGAGAGTGCAAATCTGGCTGCCAGTTCCGGGTAATCAAAGCAGAAAACTGAAGAAAGGTCATGAAAGGCCTGGAAGAAACTCAAAGTTGGCAAGGGAGCTGAAGATTCGAGCACATGCACATGACAGGGTGAGAAGAAGGAACTTGAGTCGAGAGTTGGGAGAACGTGAGGAGGGAGGCAGCATCCCGGGCTGCGACAACAACAGCATGGCTACTCCTCCAATGGCGGGCCAGTGAGAAAGTGATAGTAACTTTTGGGTAAGGGCTCAGTAGGGACAAGTCACGTGGCCCACGGTAGTTCGGAAGCCCCGAAGGCATTAAAACAGGTTGAAGGCAAAGAGAGCATATTTTCAAATTTCCATACTAAGTAAATAATCATCTCCCTTCACCTTCAACCTCCTTGATACCACTCGGGACCCGATCTCGATGACCCCTACGTACCCCAGGAAGTATCAAGACATTACATGTGACTAGAGGTGAAGAAACTATATGAGATGCCACGAGGAGTGAGATGCGGCAAAACCGGAGAGGAGAGGAGGGGAGAGGAGAGGAGGGGAGAGGAGAGGAGAAGAGAGGAGAGAAGAGGAGAGGAGAGGAGAGGAGAGGAGGGGGGAGGAGACTCTGAGAGGAGACGAGAGGAGACTCTGAGAGGAGATAGAGGAGAGGAGAGGCAAGAGGAGATAGAGGAGAGGAGAGGAGACGACTGAGCGAGAGGAGATGAGAGGAGAGGAGGGGAGACGAGACGAGACGAGACGAGACGAGAGGAGAGGAGAGGAGAGGAGACTCCCAAGAGAGAAGGGAAGGGGAGAGGAGAGGAGAGGAGATAGAGGAGAGGAGAGGAGATAGAGGAGAGGAGAGGACAGGACTGAGCGAGGGGAGGGGAGGGAGACCAGAGGAGGCGACTGAGCGAGGGGAGGTGAGAAGAGGGGACACGAGACGAGACCCCGAAACGCGTACTGCCAAGAGAAAGGAGGGACGGGAGAGGAGGGGGGTGGGAGA